GCTGAAAGATCATGTGTCCAGCCTGGATAATGAAGACCTCCTGCTCTCAATGAGACAACATGCACAGACGGCGCAAGGAGAGAGAAAGAGAAGGCATTTTGGGATGATCCAGCCATGAGACTCGCCACATGACCAGGCAACTTGTGATCTGGAGTCAGATGAGACCCTCTAGTTTTTTTTTAAACCATCGAGGAAATCTTTTTACACCCTGAGAAGTAACAAACATACACACAAGCTTCAAATGTGGCCTCATTTCACGTGAGCGAAAAGGCTACAGCATTGTTAGCTAACGAGCTAAAGAGTAAGATAACAGAGGAGGTTTCGCTAACTCCACACTGTAGCAAAAGTCCTTACAGAACATGCTATTGTTGTTTCTGGGGTGTAAAGTAGTGCAGTTTTAGAATAACTACTGGTGTCTCACACAATGTCTTTGGTAATGGTGTGTCCAAATTCATAGGCTGCATCCTCCTGAGGACCCGGTCTTCGCGGTCTACGTGGGCCGGGTCCTCCGAAGGCCCAGTGTTGCCTTCTTAGCGACTTTGTCGATATATTTAGCAAGTTTTCAGACCCCCTCAGCAACTTTTTTCTAAAAAGCGACTAGCGACAAATCTGGTGACTTTTTCTGGTGTTATGGGAGACTCATTTATGACGACTTTTTGACAGGAAAGCACGTATCGCTCTTACTCTCAACAAGCAGCAGGTGCTGCCATGGGCACCTCGCCCGTGCCAAAGCGCTCACGGGCGGAGGATAGTCCTCCCTCAGCTGCTGTCAGGGCAGCAGATGTTCACATCTATGCGTCCAAACTGCAAATGAATCGTGCATGAGCGAAGCCGCTGCTCCCGCACTGACTGTAGCGCAGTCAGTTCTTCTTTTGTTGTTATGTTGTTTTGTGGATCACAAGGGTTAAAACTACTTATAAACACACACACACACACACACACACACACACACACACACACACACACACACACACACACAAAGTAACTCTATCAGAGTGCCTATTTCGGGACACTTTTGCCAGTCCAAACCTGGATAAAGGAGTAGGGTTGGAATTGTGACATTAAAAAAACAATAATTGTTAAAAGAAAGTTAATTTGTAGTTCTAAATAAATTCTAAATGCATTTAGGACGTTTTTAACTCACTATATGTCTCTTCCACAATGAGACATAAACCTACAACCGAGGTTACAATTACATTAGCATGACCAATTATGCAAATAATTATGCATTTAGCGAATTCTAGCGACTTTTAGGACAGCCAATAGCGGTTTTCCTTACTGAGGAGTTGGCAACACTGCGAAGGCTGGGTAGGCCGGAAGTGAGCAGCTGTGAAACTGAAGCTAAAGATAATGCTAACAAGACTGAATGCACTTTTCATTTAGTGGTGGAATTTAGCCGCTGACTAGCATTAGAGAGCCAAAAAATGCTAAAATCCTCTTTAATGAAAAACGCCAGTCCTAAAGTGAAACATTAGCTGTTGTAGCTGTTCCAACTATAAATACATTTAAACATATAGTTAAAAAAAACTATATGTGAAATGAAAACAAAATGATAAATACTGTATGCTTAGCTTTTCTATACTGGAAGTCTACATGAATGTAGTACTGTGGAAAGAACACATTTCTTTGTTTTGTCAAGTTTGTGAAATTCAGATGTGATAAACACATTTGGTGGATTATAGTTTTTGTTACTGGCAGTTTCACTCAATTTTTTTTTTGTTTTGTTTGCATTTGGACTTCTTTTAACAGAACGGTATTTGGTTTTATTTAACAACTTTACTGTTCAGAAAGCAGCAGGAAAATTTTGCTTAGGACCATCAAACAGTTGTAGTTTTTTGCTTTTTAGCAAATATGACTAATATCCAAGTGTGTGTAACTTTACTTTAGGTATAAAAGGTCATCAGTGTTAAGACTCACACAATTTTCAACTTCATTAGTGATAGGGATTAAAAACAAATGCCTACATAAATCTATCAAATCCAACTTGATGGTAGAATTAAACAAATATCGCATTTAATCGCAATAATAAGCAATGCAAGCTTGATATTGGACTCTCAGAAAATTGGTGCCCTTGCTGTATAACCTCGGGAAATTCAGCCAGGTTTTTTTTTTCTTTCCCCAGACTATATAGTCATCTGGGCTCTGGCAACTGCCTGAAAAACTGAAAAAAAGAAAATCAATAGTGCTACCCTTTTAATCAAGAGTGCTTGGAGCTTATGGCAGAATGCCACAAGAGAAAAGCAGCAATTGACTTTGGGTTTTTAAGCAGAAGGTGAAGCTTAGAACACAGGAGAACTGTTATCCAGCACTCACTTGGTGAATCAGAGACACAGAAGAACCAAACAAATTGTTAGAGGAAACTAATGCTCTGCTGCTGACAGCAGTTAAACACACAGTTGCCATATCCAGCAGATTATGGGCATTTTTATTCATTTGTTACATAATCCTCCCCTCCCCCTTATCTGACAAGTGATTAGTCAGTGAAGAGTTGTTTAACCAGGACAGATGGCTTTTTAATTGTACCTGATTGCCAAGAACAAGCTAGACAGTAGCTACTGTGTGAATTTATTGTTGTCTTCAAGAAGAAAACCTAGATCAGGAATCCAGATTGTTGTCTTACATGATCAAAACAATCAAACAGATGAGGTCGTCCACCTAATGATTCAATATGTTTTATTCTAGGGGGAAGAAATTGCTTACTGTATCATTTTGTTTGGAGTCATAGCATTTTTCAGCCATTTGTTTTGATTTTACTGCTTCTAACTTTACTGCTATGCTTCAATCTCCTCAGCAAAATCTCCATCAGGAGCTGTTTTTAGAAAAACCCACTGTTCTGCTAACCATTATCAGGTAGGCTATGTTTAGAACTAGTTGGTTGAACACAGTGGAGGATTTAGCCAATAAACTTACAAATACACAGCTGAAGTGTTGGTAGTGGGTAAAATACAGACAGGAGAATGCATCGGTTTTAGGGCCAAAAACCTGTGTGGAAAACAAAATAGCATTGAAAACAAAACAGGTAAGGAAATCCTGGACAGTTTAAACGATGAAAAGCACTTTTGGGTTGCAAACACAAAGCTAACATGGAAGTGCAGATCTTGTTCAATGACCATTAGGGAGCGACTCCACTGGTTCCAAAAAGACTTCTGGTTGTAATAAACATCTGTTGGAGAAATCCTTGCTCCCATGCTCTGTGGCCTCCATGAAGACTTTCCTGATAAGTTTATGGGTTAAATAGCTAGTTTTAGCTCATTACCATGGACTGGATCTACCACGGATGCATAATGGATAAGGCTAAGTAACGGATTCTAGTTGGAATAGAATAGAATAGAATGCCTTTATTGTCACTATACAGTTGTACAATGAGATACAGAGCATCTCCCACTCAGTGTAAACATGCTGGGGAAGGGGGGGGGTACAGTTCTGCAGCGCTATGTACATATGGACAGTATTAACATAGGGAAAAACATATATATATATAAAATGTACAATATACAAGATGTAAGTAATATGTAATAAATAGTATTATGTATATACAGTTGAGCTGTTGCACATAGAATTGGTATTGCACAGTGGTGGTCCATAGAGGAAGTGGGAAGTGGGGGGCTGTGTTATCTGTGCATGTGTGAGTTCAGGGTGGTTATCGCTTTGGGGAAGAAACTGTTTTTGAGTCTGTGGGGTTTTGTGTTGATGCACCTGTAGCGCTTCCCTGAGGGAAGCAGGCTGAACATGTTGAAACCAGGGTGGGAGCTGTCCTTGATAATGTTTGCTGCTCTGGTGAGGCAGCGGGAGGAATAAATGTCCATCAGGGAGGGGAGAGGGCAGCCGATGATCTTTTGTGCTGCCTCGACCACACTCTGAAGCCTCACTCTATCTGCTTTGGTGCAGCTGCCGTACCATACCGTGATGCAGTAGGTTAGCAGGCTCTCAATGGACGAGCGGTAGAAGGTCAGCAGCAGGTTGGAGTTCAGCTTGTACTTCCTGAGGACTCTCAGGAAGTGCAGCCGCTGTTGGGCCTTCTTGATGACCGCTGAGATGTTTCCTGTCCAGGAGATGTCAGCAGAGATGAGTACACCAAGGAAACGGAAAGTGTGGACCCTCTCCACACACTCCCCGTTGATGTAGAGGGGGGCCAAGTCGGTGCTGTGTCTCCTGAAGTCAACAACAAAAGTTTGTAGTTTGTAGTTGCACAACAAAATGAATATGGAACAGATCAGGACTGGAAACCATTTGGATGCAGTCATTTCCCAGTTCATTCGGCCCAGATCAGATACAGATCCGTTCATGTACAAGCTCATATGACCTGGATCCATGTTATATATTTTTATTTTTATAATTTAAATTTAAAAATGTAATTTTTTTTATGACTTTGTAAATTATTATCCAGGATATGCTTATTGGCTAATGACTTGTCAGTCAGATCCATCCTTTGCTTTTCACATCCAATTCCAAACACCACACTGTTATATAATGTATGATAATGGCTCACATAATAAAACATATAAATAAAGAATTTCTTGCCTCTGTTTGAATAGGAATGTTGATTTGTTAACATTATTATGGTAATACACATGTTGTTAAAGATATGATGGATAAAATAAACTTCCATCCACCCCAATCTCAATTCTATTCAAACTTTGTTCCCATATAGCAAACTCATTTTAAGAAATGCTAATTTGTATGTGCATCATAGAGGATAATTATGGGTTATAATCAAACCGCTTCCCAAAGAAACCTATGGTCACCTATCAAACAGCTCTTTTCTCTAAGCAATCACGCATTTCATTTTTAGTCATTATTATTTTTCCTTCCACTAAGCCCAATAGTGTGTCCAAATCACGTGACGTCCGCCTGCTTATTATTGCAATAACACTTTGTTTGCATAACAGTCACCCTTTTGTTCCTTATCATGGTAATTTCCGAGTGCACGGTTCACTACAGCTTTTAGGGGGCCGGCTCTGACGTCAGCCCGCCCTGCCGGACGGACACCAGCAGCACTACGCTGACTGGGTGCTGCTGACTATTAATATTCACCTTGTGAAACTATCCACAGTCAGTATATGCGGTCAGCGTTGTGCACAAAGACACGGCCACTCAGCGATACTTTTCCCAAACTGAAATCCCCTTCAGGGGAGGGAGAGAGAGAGAGAGAGAGACGGGGAGCGAGAGGGGACTGCAGAACACACAGGGTCTGGATGAATAACCATGGCAACAGCAGCAGCAGCAGGAGAAGCGATGATATAAACATTTACATCCGCGCATCCGTCCGCAAACAGCAATTCACTCCAGTAGAGGCTTGGACCAGAAACCCTCTGCGGATATCGCTCCACATCAGCGCTAAGGTGAGGCTGTTTCATTCCTCATGTGACACCTTCCTCCTCTGCCTTTTGCTGGCTGGTTTGTTGTCTTCGGAACACGAGAGGATAGAGGGAAGCTCAGCTGTCATACATTACAACAGAGAAAGCTGCTTTCTGTAGTACACTGCTGCTCGGCGCCAGAGCTGCAAGGCTGACGGATTTGCTTAAAACACGGAGGCTAACGGGTTAAATTCATAGTCCATATGCGTTTCCTCTGTATGGCAGCTGAGGGTCTCTGTCTGACCTATTGCATATATGTGGTCACCACTGAGGAAACAAAACATTTAAGCCCACTCTACAGTGATAAGCTGAAGAAGCAATGGGGAAAATACATGTAGCTTTCAAAATAAAAGCATTGATAATTGTCTTTAAGCAAGCCACATACTACAGTGTGGTTTAATTTTGATAACTGGCAACTGTGTTTGGTGCAGCACTGGATTTCTTTTGATAACAAAGGATTTTTGTCAAAGCTGTCCCCCTCTAGGCTCAAATAGTGTAACACAAACACAGCAGAGACTGAAACTCGTGTGCAAAAATGCTAAAACAGACATAACTGATGACATAAGGGCAAATAGTCTTCATTTAATAATGCTGCTCATGTACTAATGTGACAAATTCAGGGACTGGTGTAGCTGACTGATCTCAAAATGTCATTATAGAACATAACGCCGAGGTTAGAGTACTTTGAAACCAGTTAATCCAACACCGAGCATTCCATTTTAATGCCCATCTTCACACTTTTAACTAGTTTTTTCTTTGGACAACGTGACCAGCACTCGGTTTCCATACAAGTGAACAGTGCTTCAGAGTTGTGAATACAAATAGTACGTCTGTTTACGGATTGCATGCAGCCCTCCAAACGCCAGCAGAAAAGCCTTTTGATCTTCAGAGAATCTAATTTGGCGATTGCAGCGATGCCAGTCACATCCTCTCAAAGTCATATTCTGATTCATTTAACTCCTTAACTCGGCCCACTCCTCTCTCTTGTTCTCTTTCGTTTTTATCCTTTTTTTTTTGCAGGGATTTGGCGTAATATTGTAATTTAACAACAGAGAGCATAATACAGCATCATGGAGGGGTTTTAGCAAATGCTAGATTATGCCATCACATGATTGCTGGGCTGGCTCAGTGGATTTCTGTAAAGTGCCACTCCAGATAACCAATTTGCAGATAGCTTTCTCTCGAAATTAGAGATGGTGAAAATGATGGATTTGCTACAGCAACTGTGATTTGATACCCTTGCTTATAAGAAGGTGCTGTAACCTAACGGCCCTTTGTCACATATTTGGTGACAGCTTTTTGTTGTTCTGTGCTGGAGAGGGATGTGGATGTTAATCAGTGGAATAATGTCTGAGATTAATTTCCGGTTCTTTGAGCTATGTGCACATACAGCAGCTCATGGCAAACAATGGCTCTCTGTCTTACAGTGACATTTATGCCTGCTAAGCCTGCAAAAATGTGCTTATTTCACACGCAGACACTGTGAACGTGTTGCTTTTTCATCCATTCTCAAATTGACACTGGAGATGTCATCGGTGGTCCCAGCTGAGCTGACGCCAACAGGAGCTGCAGCAAAGGAAAGAGGGCAGCTTAAGGACAACAAAGAGTTTTTAGGTTTTCCTTAAGGTGGTAGAATTAGCCAAGTTGCAAACTCTAGACCTCCAAGAATGCCAGAGTGTGTGGTGTGTTTGTGGCCTGCATTAAATAATAATAAGACAGCAGATGGGTGTTTTGCAACGATTAGTGTTTAATGATTTGCTTCTAGTAAGAAAGAGATAATTCACAAAATTGCACAAGCAGAAAATTCCAAGTGTAGTTTGGCTACAGGTTATGTAGAGATGTCTGGGAGCTGTGCTCGAACACAGTTAATTCAACAGTGTATTAAGGACATTGTATGAATGCAGGAATGTGTTTTTTACTTGTTATGTTAGTTGACATTGACCTGTTAATCATTCAGGCATAAAAGAGGCCTCCTAACTCAAAGGGTAAGCCAGGGTTGTGTCTACACATAACACACATCTTAGCAAAGAACCAAATGTAAATTGTACCTTTAGGCACTTTGTCACTTTGTCACAGCATGTTGCAAAAACTCAACATCTGTTCAATTTCTTTTGTCGAATCTACAAAACAAACAGACAAAAAAACCTGTTTAGTATTTGTGCACCAGCACACCGATTCCCAAACATGTATTATCTAAAAATTGGGCTTATAGCAGCATCGTGTGCAATGGGTTTATAAAAAAATTGAGGAAATTGAACAAATGGAAGAAAAAAGAAAGCTGTGAGTTCTATTTTCTGCAAAGAGTTATGCAAATCGAGCAGTTAATAAAATAAAACTCTGTTGTTGTACTATTTTCGGGTCTTTACCTTACAATATAAAGCGCCTTAAGGTGACTGTTGTTGGGATTTGGCGCTATATTAATAATACTGAACTGCATTGGAATTTTCTCTCATCCTTAAATGCCAGCATTTCAAGTTCAGTCCCACAGGCATCTACATTCAACTTATTCACTAATTTATTAATGCTGACGTAAAGGTACAGAGAATGCTTTAAAACAGGGGCGTCAAACTCAAATACACAGTGGGCCAAAATTCAAAACTGGAACAAAGTCGCGGGCTAACATTAATATTTATTGAAAAATCTTCCTCCAGATATAAGAATGAATCTTTTGTTATGGACTCAAACAAGTTTTGCTGAAAAACTGAATATGGAACAAGCAAAGCTTAATACTAAACAATATATATATTACCTGTATAATACCAGTAGGCCAGCTCTAATAGTAATTTGGTATGGCTTCGCCAAATTTGGCCCGCGGGCCAGAGTTTGACACCTATGCTTTAAAAGGTCCGATGCTGCAGTTTAGCTGGTGGGGCGTTTCATCAACCAAGATCATTGTTGTCATCGTCATGAAAAGAAACACAGTGTGTCTCTCTTAGATGACTGACAGCTGTATGCCTCTGGAGCTGTCAGCGTGGGTGCTTTGGTGTGTGCCTCGCTGATTTGATTAACGTATTGATGAATTTTCAACACAGGCTGATAATCAGTGCATGCGTCTGGGTGCTCTTGTCATGTACTGTAGGCTGCTGATTGTTTCACTGGGAAATAAAAACATATTACAGTAAGTCCCCGGCCTGTGAGCTTCCATTTTATCAAGTACACAGTGTTCATTCGACTTACTGCCTACCTAACACATTGTCGGAGAAGTGAGCTGCTCCTTCTTATTATGTATGTTGGAGACAGCCGATAACAGATAAGTATAACGGTGGCCTGCACAACAGTTCAGTGAATTAAGGAAGCGACAAAGCAGCTTTAGCTATATCTTAAGCAGCGCAAAAAGAAACATATTTCAGCATCTCACCGTCTCCCATCAAATGACCTATAACTGTTCTTACAAGCAGCATGCCGAGTCAGCACAAAGAGAAAGCGTCTCTGTCGTTACTTGTCTCCTTAGGCCATTTGCGGCAGTGGGCAGCTGATGTACTACATTAGTGAAGGATACTGTGTGTCTCAGGACTGTACTCATTTGCTTTTATGGTCTTCAGCTTTAATGTGGGCACTGGATTTTACTTTCTTTCTTCACTGTTGGCAGGAATCTTCTAATCCATCTTATCAGCATTAGAAGAGAGCGTTTTTCTGCCAACTGTCAGGACACCTTAGATTCACCCTATTTGGTCAAATAAAGTGTTAAGAGAGGACACTGGGAATTAATTTCTCTGCTCAGATGAAGGGACAAGTCAGACTTTTTTCTCTAACATTTCTTTCTTTTTTAAAAGCTGTAACATCTTCTTAAAAGAATCTTGAAAAAATTCTGAAATAAAAGAAGCCTTTTTGTCCCAGCCCAGACACATTTATGCAAATGGTACAATAACTGACTCAGAAACTCACCATTAGATGCTCATTGGATAACGGCTTACTAGCTTTTCCCCAATGAGGATATTCCAGATAATCTTTCTTCCTTACTCGTAGAATGACCATCATTTTCAGGGAAATGTTTATTAAGGTGACACCTAAAGTGACCTGAAGGCGGGTGATTTCATGTAGCCTTCTATACCACCAGAAGTCTTTTTGCTTAGAGGAAGATTGCTCCCGGCTAAGCTAGCTTGGCACCTCCAAGTTAGCTTGGCCTGGACGCTCTTATACCGTCTGTGCTTTTGTCTGACTCATGCATATAGTTTAGCTGTTAATGAAATACTATGTGTGTAGTCAAGGACTCCTTTTACATAATCCTCAATTTAAAACAAATTAGATAAAAATAGAAAAAACAGTTGATATACCTGTAGTTTAGCTATTAGCACATCGTGTAAGTATTTTAAAGTGCATTCGTTTTAAAACAAGTGTCTTGAAGCTTTAAAAAAATGTGCCCCAAAGGCCCCTTTTTTAAACTAACTCAACCATTCACACCTATGGGCCATACTGAATCACCAATTAGCCTAACTGCAAACACACCCATCACCTTCTTGCTGTGAGGCAACAGTGCTAACCTCACGCTATATCGATATAAATACACTGAATACTAAGACAGGGACAGTTGTATTTTTTTCCCCCATTTTCCTTATTGCAAATTCATATGATATACGCTCTGAGTGTCTGAGCTCTGATGAAATGAAACGTCACTGTGTACGTCTTACTTTATAGTAATATTGCTTTTATAGTTTTTACAGTGCTTACAGGAAGACTCACCCAATACCACACACATGGTGGTGTTATATTTCAAAGCGTTTAATTATGGGTTTCTTAATATGCTTGACTGTAAACACAGTCAGTGTTTGAGCACCTTTCGATTGATGGCAGCTCAAACTTGCCGTGTTTCAGCTCTCATAGCACTTTATAGCCTGTGTACTACGAGGTTGGTATCTAATGTTTGTAGTAAATTGGATGGTTCATGTTCTGAGCTTTAATTACAAGTGACAGGTAGTACTTTTAATATGGTATGAATGAACGGAGAGTCAGCAAGTCTAGTATGTACAGTACTGATCAGAAGTTATTTTGGACACATGGGTTTATAATTGTGATTTATTTAAGCAGGACTCAATGACTTGAAGCATACCTATTAGATCCTACCAATAAGAGATCCCAATAGATACCTAAGTCAAGAGACAATGGAAATTCAATATTAGTTTATATAACTGTATAATAGTAAGGCTTCTGGAGAAAGATAATGGGTTTCTGTGTTGTGTATCCAAAGGATGGATTCAAAAAAATTGTGCTACAGTAAACAAAACTGTGATAGATAATCACCCTTTCTTTTGAATAAATGGGCACCACAGCGATACACTACGTTAAACTATAAGTATTAAATGTTATTGTTATGTCAAACATAATAAGGAGACTCTTCTTCTTTGTGTTTTAAAATATTGGGCATACAAAAGTGATGTTTAAAAATGAAAAACATCTGTGTTATAAAAGTTATTATTATTCAAATGTACTATAAAGGTAATGTGACAATGCTACTGCTGCCAATAAACTGATGTTTTCTACAATAGAACCTGGCTCACAGCTTTTCTTTTTAAGGTAGATAGAAGACAGAGAACATACAGCTGCACGCATTCATTTTTTACTGTGACATAATTCAATCACAGGGGTGGTTGTCATATGTGCAACATTAACCTGACCACTGGTAATGAGAACTATATTCAGACCAGGGTCTCTATCTTTGTCTGCTATCCACACTGCAGTGGACTGAATGAGTCATGCAGTATCACTTCCATGGGAGCTAGTTTTAGAAATGTCATCATTTGTCTTACCTCTCAGTGTGGATTTGGTGTTATTTTGGCTCATTGGTCTTATACATCATATTGATTGGTTGTTTTCTTTTTTGACAGGTGATGAGTGGGATCATATCATGTCTGAAGTACAGGGAACAGTGGAGTTTTCTCTAGAGTTGCACAAGTTTCACAATGTGGATCTCTTTCAAAGGGGGTAAGAATTTTTCTTATATATATTTAATAGTATTTAAAAAGTGCACATATCCTGAATCATTTAATTTACTGGAAAATTTCTATTTCTATTTCTGCTGCTAGTTAAATACTCTGCTGGTTAAATGCAACCATTGTTAGCTAATATCAAAATCTCTGTTTGTTTCATCATAGAACAATAACAATGCTATTTTTTGACACAGAGCTTGTGTACGCAACTAATTAAAATTAGTTCAAACATTAGTTCAATTTGTTAGCACAATCTAAAGCTTTTGATGTGGCTAAAGTCCAAAAGCTATATCAAAACTGGCGCTAACTAGCTAGAGTGTTGTAGCTGCTAATTCTGCTATTGCTAGCCGATGCACAGGCCTAAGAAGAAATGTTTGCAGTAAAGTGTTGCAAAATGTCACATGCAGAGCACTGACAGTGCTGTTTGGAACAGTGTTCAAGAGAGGCAAATGAAAATGAAGCAGTGAGGCCCCCAGCAGACTGCCTGTAATGCAAAGTCGTCTTCCTATTATTATATAATGTAGTATTATTAATGAAAAAGACAGATGTTACATCCAGTGCTTTACAAATAGGGAGTTTAAAAGGTTTTGTTAATGATAGAGGTAGTTCTTCTTTCTTGTTGCAGTTTTTATGATATTCCCAGACTAAAAAAGGGCCCTGTGTAGCCTGCTCTGTCTGCAGATTAAAACATGTCATTTGGCTCAGTGAAACACCAGCTTTATCAAAATGATTTTCCCTCTCCAAATGTGATGGGCTAAAGCTTTATCACGATAATCCCTTCAGTTGAGTGCACTAATATGTTTGTTTTTACTCGATGCCACGTTGCTCTGTGATATCAGAAGAGATCCGTTGTGAGCACGAAACAAAATCTGACCCCAGTGTAAAGATAAAGCCCTATGGACAGAGAATAGTTTAGTTACCAACATCTACACATCTTCCCACACTGAAATGTGCTTTCTTAAGTCAATACTAATCCCTGTGCTAGACTAGTGGGCCACACAGCTGTCCACTGATTGCATTAGGAATACTGATTAAATCTGCATTTGATTTGCAAAGGATAAAATGGCGATAAGCAGCATTTACATTTTATACTGTAATAGGAAAAGTAAGTTTTAAAAACACAGGTGCATTTTCTTATTCAGTATTCTGTCCTTTCTGCAATTTAGCCTTTTAATAAAAACAATTCAGCTTGTTGAAAACTATTCATGGAACACTGCTATTTATATATCTCTGCCATAGCACATGAGTAAGAAGTGATCACTAAATTGACCTATTTTCTTTCCAAAAAAACACCTTTTTGATTTTCTTTATTGTGACATCTTCTCTATCGAGCGCTGTCATTAACACACTGATGACATAATCAAGTTCACAGCCATGCTTTGGTCTCAGCTTGCTAATGATGTGAAGGTTTTACCCAAATCTGCTTTGGGTCACAATGATTCAATGTAAATGATACATTTTTAACACAAAAAGACTGTTTATCATTTCAAATGAACCCTATTTGAGATATTTTCCAATACTTTTACCTAATTAATAACCCTCTGTCAATAATTCTTTAATAGTATAAGAATATTTGTGCAATCGATGGGCGACTTTGTGTAGCTTTAATGTTATTTTCTCATTAAGTTAATGGAAAGCACGTTAGAATCTGAAAACAAAGACTCTAATCAGTTTCAATAAACAGGATTACTGCAATACGTTGGTTTAAACAAGAGCTGCAAAGTTAGCCAAATTAGCCAAAGCTTTCTGTATTAGGCTCTAGGTGAATTTCACAATGCCAAAACTGCACATACCTTAAATCAGTTTCCCTGGATCTTCTTGTTAATAAAAAAATGTAGTTACAAAGATCTGTAACTGCATTTTTCAGTTGCTGAAATTTCAGCAAGTCAAACTATAAGTGGCAAATATCTTAAATGAGTTTATCACATTAATATAAATACATGGTACAATGCACAGTTATGTTCCAGAAATGGTTTGGCTAACACATACATTACCTCCAAACCATTTATTTAATTGTTTTAATCGTTAATTGTCCTAGCAACGTCTGCTCCAAGTGTTTAACTACAAAACAAGTGGGCCTGGTGAACACAGTAAAATGAACAGACAATTTTATGCAATTTTTAAGTACCATTTTCTTGTCACTTCCACTATACTAACATGCAAACTGAATGTTAATTAGCCAGATATTAGCGTGGGCAGCATGATGGCGTGGTGTTTAGCACTGTTGCCTCATAGAAGAAGGGCCTGAGTTTGATTCCACCAAGTGTCCAGGGCCTTTCTGTGTGGAGTTTGTATGGATGGTTAGGAAGAGGCTAGAAAATATGATATTTAACATCTTTTGAATTTAAGTGGCTTTAGTTGAAGAATAGTTTTACAAACAACTGCAAAGTTAAATGAAAGATGGGCTTAAGAACATTTCTGTCAAGAAAATATTTTGTGGGAATGGGAATTGAAAGCCAATACTAAGGATATAAAAAACTAAAACCTTTATTAAGGTCAAGGAGCACCAACGAGACAAAAATACAGACAAAGTACAAGGAATGCATGTCTGAAACAATAAAACAGGAAATAACTAAACAGGGAAACACCTCACACAGAGACAGGACTTGACACAGGAGAGAAAGCCAAGGGTCTTATGGAGAAACTGTTATCAAAGCTAGAAACTAAAAGGAAACTAAGGGCACAGAATATATACCTATAAAGTTATAAGTATAGGTATATACTATATATATACCTATAATAATAATAATAATAATACATTTTATTTGAGGGCGCCTTTCAGAAACCCAAGGTCACCTTACAAAAAACACAATTAATAAAAGGAACAATAGTCATAAAATACATAAAATAAGTAAAAATTACAAAACAGAGCGTGACAACAGATAAAATCAGCATTAAAGCGAATAAGCCAGTTTAAACAGATGTGTTTTGAGCTGTGTCTTAAATACGGAGAGGGAGTCAATATTTCTTAGTGCAGGAGGAAGAGAGTTCCAGAGCCGAGGAGCAGAGCGACTGAAAGCTCTGTTCCCCATAGTGATAAGGTGTGAGGACGGAACAGTAAGATGAATAGCAGATGATGATCTGAGAGTGCGGGAAACAGTGGTGATATGGAGCAGGTCACACAAATATGAAGGAGCAGATTTATGGATACACTTGTATGCAAGAAGTAAGATTTTAAAATTTATCCTGGCTTCTATGGGCAACCAGTGAAGCTGCTGAAGAACTGGGGTAATATGAGCACTTAACGGAGTGCAAGTTATGACCCGAGCTGCAGAATTTTGAAGAAGTTGGGGTTTATGAAGGGACCTTTTAGGGAGACCAAATAGGAGGGAATTACAGTAATCAATACGGGATGTAATAAGACTATGGACAAGGATGGCAGCAGCATGGGGAGTAAGGAAGGGACGGAGTCGGTGAATATTACGTAAATGGAAGTAAGCAGACCGTGTTATGTAATTAATGTGAGACTGGAATGAAAGAGTATTATCAAGTATGACACCCAAACTCTTAACCTGAGGGGAGGGAAGGGTGGGAGAATTTTCAACGTTAATGGAAAAGCTGTGGGATTTGGTTAAGATAGATGGTGTACCAACAAGTAAAACTTCAGTTTTATTACTGTTAAGTTTGAGGAAATTGGAGGAGAACCAGGATCTAATCTCAATAAGACAGTCTGAGAGGGAGGTAGGTGGGAGGGATGAATTGGGTTTAGAAGAAAGGTAGAGCTGGGTGTCATCGGCATAACAGTGAAAATTTATATTATATTTTCGGAATATATAACCAAGAGGAAGCATATAAATAATGAATAAAAGAGGCCCCAATACTGAACCCTGGGGCACACCAGCAGAAACAGGATAGAGAGCTGAAGAATGGGATTTAAGTTGGATAAACTGAGTGCGGTCTGAGAGATAGGAGGTAAACCAGGTAAGTGGGGTATGACTAATACCAATGGAAGCTAACCGGTTCAGGAGAATATTGTGAGAAATGGTATCAAACGCTGCACTAAGATCAAGAAGGATGAGAATGGTATAGGTATATATATACTATATACCTATACATAGTATATATATACCTATACTATGACTGAGACAGAGAAACTCTTGAATCAAAAGAAACAAACCCTGAGAAACAATTCAACTGTAATACCAATAAAGTGGATCTAAAGCACTGGATAAATAATACTAAGGAAATGGATAAAGATAAAAAATAAAAATAAAACCAATAAACATACAAAGAGTACAAACAGAGACAGTAAATCGAAAGTAATTTAAAATAAACATACAAAAAATTGTTAAAACCTAAAGTTGTGTTGATACCTTTCACCTACTCACAGACTGCAGAGGGTGAAGTTAAGCAGTGCTGCTTCGTTAAGCGTGACTGTTCTGTTTTTATCCACCACCTCAGGTTCTACCAGATACGAGCAGGGCTGAAGGTCTCACCTCGAGTGCCCCACAGGGTCATAGCAACAACACAAGACAATGCAGGTAAGACAGACGATGTTTACTTCCTCACACTCTGAGAAACACACACATCAACTTTACCACTCGTTCTGGTGTGTGGAGGAACTCTTAATTTGCTGTGTTGTGTTCAGTAATCTGTTTGTGTAGTTTTGTTAAATAGATGGTGGAGCACATGTCTGAATACTTTAGTTTGACACTGGGTACTAGACCATGGTTATTGTTTTTTTGCCTCATGTTTGGCCATTTTACTGGTGCTTTTTCATGGTCAATTTCCGTCATTTCTGGCCATTTAGTGTCTCTCAGCAGTTAGTTGGCATCACCCTTTAGTCGTTGTGCTTTCATATATAGTGTTGTTCTCTGTGTGTCGTTTGTGACTACAAAGGTTGTTCTGTGTTGCTTCACCATTGTTCTCTTTTTGAATATTTTTACAACCATGTTTGGCTGTTTTGTGGTCATTTCTGATCGATCTTTTCATACAGTTTTGGATCTTTTTAAACTTGTTTGAATGACTTTCTAACAGTTAAAGGTAAATTGCATTGAGAAACAGCACACAGACTCCAAATTTACCTGCATTAATAAATTACCAGACATGATAAAATTAGACCAAATAAACCTTTGAGTTAACACACTTTGTTTTTTGAAAAAGATTGAATATTGAATATAGTTAATATTTCATGAAAAATATTAGCTAAATAAGATTCTGTACACTGCAGTCATTTCTACGTGGCCTGGCTGTGAACACCTGTAGTATTGTAGTACCAGAGTCTTTTAAGCTGATCAATTGAAACTCTTCAAATAAACAAAGAGTTTAAGTGAAGGTTTAGAACGCATCATAGCAAAAAACAGCACTAGTGAAGGTTACTAATGATCTCAGTAATGGTCTCAGATTTGAGTCAATTTGTAAAAAACACTTTACTTCAGCATCTGTCTGATAGATTCTAATTTGTCCCGGTAAACAAAGAGTTTTCCTCGCACACAAAATAAGTCATAAAAATCTATCTCAGCCCTGCCCGCCGGGCAATCATATAGCCCGATGGGCGGGGCTGAGATAGATTTCGGTCGCCCGACCCGAGATATCGCTAGCCCCGGGCTAGAGATTTTGCGAGCCCTGCCCAGTGGTGACTAGTGAAACATGTAGCATTAGATTACATTTCAGTAACATGCAAGTAAGAAAAAGTAGATGTCACCCTTCAAATCAAGTCACTTAGATGTTTCTTGGTTTCACAATTCTTCTAAGATTTTCAAATCAGACATGTATAAATTGGATACAAAGGACAAGATTTGAACCTTGCAGGGATATAAGAGGTTAATCAAATCTCTAAACTAGTCTTCATTCATCTGCACATCTGTCTATGAGTGATCCTGAAAGAATAATTGATGCAGTTGTTCTAAACTTCTAAGCTGGAACATTCAAATTCTTCGTCCTCAAAGCACTCTGAAAAGCCTCTAAGTGACCCCAAATGCTGCAGCATGAATGATAGAAGGGACTAGAAGGAAAGCTAATATTTCTCACATACCTCTTTATTTGCTCCTGTTAAATCCAGAATTGAGCTTAAATGTATTCTTCTAGCATATAATTCAAGTTTCCAAAAGTAGAATGGGAGGTCCCTGTGAAGCTAGCTCCCAGTTTGGGTTCAGAAGACAGACGCCTTCTCTACTTTTATGATTAGGTCTCCAATTTTCCTGTTTAAAGCTTACTGTTGAGGCTGGTTCTGGAAATCCTGAACCATTAAGCTGCTGTAGGCTTCGTATGATGCATCGACTACTGTCACTCACGTACTTTGACTCCCCTTGCATTTATATGCTGCGATTGCATGCCCTCCTTTTTCTCTTCTTTTGCCCCTTACTCTCTAGTCAGCTGAAGACCCCTGAGCCTGCCTGATGTCTCTTCCTATTAAAAGCAGTTTTTCTCCCTACCATTAGGGACTGTCTCAACATGTGGTCCTCTATCTTTACCTAAGAATTTAAACCACCTTAAATTGGCACCATATTAAAAAATTGAATATAAAATTTTGATGTCTATATTTAAAAAAGTATCAATTAAAGATGTGACTGTTTTCTTAACGTAGAGCTGTCAACAGATGACAGATGATAATTTTAATAATAGTAATAATACTAATAATAATAATAATAATAATAATAATGACAATAGGAAAATAAAACAACCAACAATTTGACTGCTGAGTACTCAGATTTGTCTCCAAATGCACTGTAATTTCTCACTGCTATTGTGGATAAAAGACAGAAATTTACAAAAGGTTACAGTAAACAGTAAGTAGTCCCACCACTGTGCCAGCTATCCAGGATCTGTAGAGAGTGAGAGCGCTGTCTGGGAATTTTATGGCCCTGTCTTACCGATGTGATTTAGGATTTAAAAACTGAGTGATTCATCCTGCAGAATATCTGGCATCTAAAATAGCTTAGAAACATTTCAAACAATAACTCTTAAACGTTTAATAAAATTTTATTGGATTTCCAGTTATTGAGGGAAAGTCTTTAGTCTTGGCTGAAAAGGGCAAAGCCGGCTTAAAGCTGCACTGTGCTGCATAATAGAAAAACTCATCTTATGGAGAATGTCCATGTATTGAAAAAGCTCTTTAAATTTCTAAAATACATTTGTTTCCTACTTAATTAGAAAAAAAAGTGTAAACAATCACCAAAAAATACACTGTAGTGAAAGTTTTGTGAACATTGAATGCTTCATTCCTATACAAATATACAATTACTTTCAGGTTCCTCAAAGATCATGAAATATTCTTCTTCTGTTGCGTCCATATTTGTATTCATAGGTTGTGACTGAAGGCTTCCAAACCTACCTAACTGTCAAAATGTGGATCTGTGGCGTTGCAGAAAGCTGTTTCACTGCCAATCCTGATTCTCAATATTGGCTATTTTTAGCCTATCATGACTGGAGCAGTGTGTGTATGTGTGCGTGTGTGTGTACACCAGCTGTACTTGTGACAGTGCAGCCTACTGTTTTCACTAGGATGTTTTAGATTGTGAGGGCATTTTGGTCTTTTGGAGCAGGATATTAGTCTCAGGCATGTAGCTGTTGTCAGTGTTCTCACTGCTATAGAGGACAGCACCACCAGCAACACCAAACCGTCCATGCGTGCGTGATTGTAAAGATGATGTGTGAGTGTTTTCACCTAAAACACAGTGACAGGAGGCACGGGGTTTTTGATTAAGAAGAATTTCTTGCTCCCTCATTACTGCTGGTTCCAAGTAGCCACTATAATGTCAAGTTGAATAGAAATGAAGAATAGCGGTTTGTCTATTTTTAGGGCTGCTGAATCCTGGAGGATCAGCTTTTTTACATGTTGTAAAGAAAGAGGTAGATCATTTTCCAGACAGGGGAGGCTTCAGTTTTGTTACTTTAGCTCAGATTAGCTGACACAAATATATTTAATAATGTAACTCATTTTTAGAGGTGCCTAATGGTGCTTACTATTCAGTATTTTCACCTAAAAGCTGCTTAAGTATTGACAGTTTGTGTCTTGACAGAATGCTACCTGTTTACACAACTGTAGGCCCACACATTATCCCAAACTACAGGTGACTGTAGATGCTTGAGCTCGTGATTTGTTTTAAACATGTAACTTTCCTCAAATTCACAAATTGCATTTTTTATAAAATACTTCTTCATATACAGTAAGGAAAACTCCAGCATGCTAAGCTAGTCTAGTCTAAGCTAGTCTAAGGTCGCGCCATAGCATTTCAGTCAGGCTGATGTCTAGACTTTCACATTTGTGTTTGGTTTCATTATCTTGTTTCATAACCTAATTCGGGCCAAGCTTTAGTTGTCAGACAGATGGCGTCTCGTTGACTCTAGAATACTTTGATATATGCTCATGTTTGTGAGTTCATGGTTGACTCAAGGTTTCCAGATCCCGTGGCTGCAAAACAAGTTAAAATAATTATCCCTCCACCATCATGCTTGACAGCTGGCATGGGCTGTTTTGTTGATATACTGTGTTTAATGCAGCTTTGCAAAACCTAAGCCATTCAGTCCTGTTTTGTTTTTTAGAGAGAAGAGACTTTCTCTGGGCAATATTCTTTTATATAAGCAATATTTTATATATTTGTACTATCATGAGCTTTAACGTCTGACACTAACTGAGCTCTGTGGAGTCTGGAATGCAGCTCTTAGGTTTTTTGCAGTTTCTCTGAGAATTTTATGGTCTGATCTTGGGGTGTATTTGCTGGGTCATCTGCTCCGTGAACAATTTTTCCATTGTGTTAATGCTCACCTGAACGCTACAGAGCAGCAAACGGCCAAAACCTTTGCTTTAATAGTTGGCGTGACACTTTCTGATGATCAAATAATCAAATACATTTGATTAGCACTTGATATAGATTGGTATAGTGCATTTTTGATGCACTAATATCTAAGCTGCTGACTACACTGCAATGTTTCACCAGCCATTAGCATATGTAGACAGCAAGAAACACTGCAGCTACGTATATTACAGTGAAGATCTTGCATGCATATTGTAATTGGAAGGCTGTGGCCCTCCCCTCTCCTCTGCAGCTCTTTCCACAAGGTCATGCACTGAGCCTGCATACCTCACAGACTGAATCATAAACATAAAGCTGCCATTCTGGCCACAGATAGAACAATTACATTCATCATACAATTCCCTTACTGTGTCCTCTTTGAAAGCGTGTGCTTGACATTTCAATTGTCTGTGCCCTTCAGAAAAAAAATGAATTACTTGTGAAGGATCGTGCCACACACTCAGCTGAAGGATTTAATGACTGTGATTCATGCGCAGTAAGATTAGGATTTTCAAGTCAGAATGTTAACTGGGAGAACTGGAGTGTTGTTTACGGTGCACCGGCTAAGATGCCCTTTCTTATTAATATCATGAGGAGCAAATCTGTGTGGCGAGTTCTGTGTGCTTTACTGATAGGCAGAACACGAACACACACACACACACACACACACACACACACACACACACACACACACACACACACACAGCAGATGCAGAGCAGAGGCTGTAAGCTGATTATTTCCAGCACAGAAGCACTGTGGCTAAAGCTGAAGGGCGTTTCAGCAGGTTTTAATGTGCAGGATGTGTTAACAGTCCAGTACCTGTGAGAAGCACAGTACACCAGAAGAGTGTCAGAACCGAGTGATTTCTGATGGCATGTGAATATGTAGTTAGTTTGATGATGCTAGGTAATTTTGTGTCAGGTAGGTTTAGCTTCTTACAAATTTCTGGACGACTAGTCCAGAAAAAAGACAAAGAAACTGGTCAAAACTGGGAGTAAAAAACCAAGATGTTTATGGCACGGTGGAACAGTGGTCAACACTGCTGCTTACAGCTACCAGATTCTGTCAATGAACATGTGGGTCAGCTTGAGCCTTCCTGTTGACATGTTTTGAACTGCCTGTGTGAGTTTTAAAGGCTCCTTCAGTTAACATGTGCCACCCTCTCATCGATATTGATTCAATCAAAAATATTATCATTTTACTTTCAAATAAGAACACTTTCATTTTGAGATGTTGTCGGCCTGAGTAAAAAAAATACCTTGGGATTGATGATGCTTAATATTTCCTTAAGAATAGGCATCCATCCATTCACTACAGCCTATCCTTTTCAGGGTCGTGGGGGCGGGCGCTGGAGCCTATCCCAGCTATCATAGGGTCGCCAGTCTGTCGCAGGGCTAACATATAGACATAGACAATATTTACATTTAAAATAAGTAATCAGAAGTTTTATTATAGTAGATTATGATATTACTATTTTTTATCAATTAGCGTTAGATACCAGCAAAATTACAGTTTAATATATTTATATTGTAAGTCTTAAATTATATATATAATGTATATTATATATATAATATATGGTGTGTGAGTGTGTTCTACCGAATGTGTAAGAAAATGCAACTTTTAAAATTTTTTATATACTATATTTAAAGGTCTTTTCTTCTACAGCCTCATGTGACTGCCATGACAAATAGCTTACAGCCAATTTAGTGCCAGTTCTGTATAAACAAACTATAAACAATACAGTGTTACACCGATTATCAGTTTCCATCTTAACTGATCTTCAGTCTTATGAAAGAAGGGTTCATAATATTGTTATATTGCATTTTACGGGTGGTTTAGTGTTTTTTCCACCTCAAGTGTGCACAGCACTGCTAGATGTGTCAAAGCTGTTATTTCAGTTAAGCTGCGTTCTTATCAAGGCCTTATCACTGAAAGTCCCTCGACACGTATTGTAACATTTATTCAAGTCTGTAGAACAAACAGGCATTGAAAGGGAAGTATAATATCTGTGAGCGTGTGAGAGTAGCCACTGCAGCAGGTGCAGTTTGTTGATTTAGTGATTCTGGCCACATGAAGGGAGAAATCCAGCGTTTGTGAAGCACGGAGGCTCCCGAGGGAAACGATGAGTCCTTCACAGGTCAAATAGACACAGAGGATAATTTATGTTAATGACAGCACACGGTGTCGAGTTTCTAATCTGCTTATGTGTCTTGAAACAGGAGCTTGAAACCCACACAAAAACAAAATAAAAACAAGAACATCAAAGTCACATTCATGCAACTGTAAGGAGACCGTGCTAACACCGCGCAACAACTCCTACCCCAGAAAGTACATCCCCAGAGGGATTACGCTGTCTGTGCCACACATCCACCAAGCCTTTGACAGCACTCGTGCTTCCACACATCCGTCACCCTGGCTGGGGCTGCTTGATGCTGCAAGTAGTGACAGCATTATCGGGAGGAGGCCTGCAGAGAGAGGGAGAGTAAGACCGAGACAGAAAAGAGCACAACCTCAGCAGGGGATTTCAAAGACCTCTCACGGCTCACAGCTGGACAGCAGCTCTGCAGTGCTGCCAGGGAAAAATGCGCTAGTAGCACACAGTAAACAGCCACTGCGTCGCACACCAAAGTGCTGCGACTTGGACGATGATGGCAGTTGAAACAATGGGCTGCCTCTGAGATCGTGTGAGTTTTGGGGGCAAATGTGTGACCTAAGTTTTGCACATAAAATCCAATTTATTAGTTTTTCCTTGTGCTTGAAAACATATGTGAATTTAAAGGTACTACTGGCTCTGCATTCCCACACCAAGAAGTTTAAAGGACTTTAAAGTTTATCAGTTGAACTTGATGTGAGCAACATCGATAGACCTAAATATGAAAAACAGCCCACAGCTGTTTGCTTTGCCTTGCTTTAGTTAAACAAGCCTAGAGACAAGCGGTAACTTTGCTAAGAAAAACTCCAGAGTAGTTTCTGGAGGTTGTTGGCTGGCCCTGGGCGAAATTGACTGCTGCACCAACAGCCTCACTGTGATTGCTTTGGTTGCTAACAGACTGCCACGATTGCCCATAGTTTGCATGGGAAACATGTGCCATTTGTCCATGGATTAATGAAATGGGGAATGTTCACCTTTCAAAGTAAATGTTGTTCCTTACTGCTGAAACCAACAGCTTTTACACTGACACTGACCATCTCTGTTTCCTGTTTGCATCACAATTTTTCAGGTGTTTCGAGGTAGCTGCAAATAAAAGCTGACAGATCACCCAATGTTGCAGTCAACCCGAGTCAGTCTGCTCTCACCTGTGACTCTGGTTCTATTCTACAATATGTATTCTGATATAACAGAGCGTTGCCAGGTACATGTGGGATTTTGCAATTAAATTGCCATCATGCAGCAACTACTTCGCTATTTGTGGAAGAACTTCTGAATTGAACTGATCAATACAACTGCAGGAAGGTTTTTTCTCTAGCATCCGCAGCCAGTGTGAATACAGGTTTAGAGGGAACCTACTCATAGATTTTTTTTTTGCTAACAGTGTGCGCTGACCTGCTTTCTGAACCAGCCTAAGTGGTCACATGAAGAACTGCAGTTTTTTATGTTTCCATTTTGCTGCTTGATTTCTTTTTTTTCAGCGTTCTTGGCCCAAAACTCATTTACAGATTTTATCACTTGGTTCTAGAGCTAAACGTAGATGCTTGCCTCTGAGTGCCTGTAAATATGTGCAAATGTCCTCACAAACCTGTTGATGCTGTGCAAAGATAAAGTGATGTTTTGTTTGTTTGTAGTCATGACAGAGAGCTCTGAGAAAGCTCCTGTTATCAGTTAAACATTGGTGTTTAATGCTTGTTTTAGTCTATCGGATCTATGTCTTATCATATGTGGATACTAATTGCACTTGCTGTCACTGTGCTGTGCTTTTGCGTCCCACATTAGGAGAGTGCAGCTTCAGCTCTGCGGGGGTTTACGACGGCACCGTGTTCAGCCGGATATTTCAGATCCTGTACAGAAACGAGGAGATTGCGGTGAATGACTGTATGATCTTCAAAGTCCACCTGCTATTGGACGGAGAACGGGTGAGTCATGCCGGTGACATTTTCTGCACACACACAGACAAATATCCAGTTTGAAAGGGGGGGGGGGTGGATTGATTGCCATTTGCTCGCTTTTTTATTTATTCCATAGCAACTTGTAGCTTTACAGCATATTAAATGGCCCGTAATTAATGGATTTCATCATTCTCTGTTCCCTTCTGCACTTGTTGTTTTTATCATCTGACACAAACAATACTCCTTGTTCAGAACACACACATTCGTTCCACTTAATCACAGCAGATATTTTACACAACAGGGAATAAAAGATAAAAAACTACAGTGCTATATATTTTGCAGTCTGAACACCTGCAAAATATATAGTCTATCTGTCTATAGCAGTATAGATTTAAAGCAGGGGTGTTGGAGCCGTTCTATTTCTTTGGCCAAAGACAGCTCAATTTGCAAAGATGTACTTTCTGGAAACATTGACTTGTAAGGTTTGTCTAACAGAGCTTAAGATGTCTAAAGCATCATTGACTGTAGAATGAAAATAGGGCAGCAACCTCCTTGCGATTAGGAACAATCGATGGGCGCCCAGTGGTTGCATTAAATTGTTTTGCTGTTGGGAACCAATTGTAAGTAATTGTCAGTGCGCAACACCCTCACCTGACGATTGCACAGGCCACCTGGCAGGAGGCAACCTATCTCCAAACAGTTGCAGTCCGACTCAGACTAACTGCGGTCCCGCTCATCCAGATGAAGGCGAAGGTTTGCAAATAAAGCAGACGGATTGCCGATATGTTGCTTTCAATCGGACTCAGTCTTGTCAGTGACACGTAGGTAGGGACTCGACTCAACTTATATAAACTGTTTGCATTCTGATTATAGATTCCTGTTGAAAAGCAAGATTGCCGGGCAGCTATAGCAAATTGAAATTAAAGTGTCGTCATGCAGCAGAGGAATTTCTGAATTTCTACTTCAGATCTATGAACTGTGGCTGAAATGGAAGTAGTTGTGTATGAAGACAGCAACAGATTTGTGATTTTTGCAGACTGATCACAGTTACAGCTGCCATATTCTTAGAAGTTTGCACTGATGTTCTTGGTAAACATTTCATGTGATGGCTATAACAGGGATAAAAATGCATTTAAATAAACAAAGCTTATAAGTTAATGTAGCTCTAATCTTTGAAACTACTGGTCAGTCTGATGGCTCGCCCTTTGGTGCCGTTAGCTAATTTTCTGAGGCTACCAGTGTAGCCCAGATACTTGGATAGACGTTAAAGGAAATCCAGTTCAGAACTTCCTCTTAAATGTTTATGAACCCAGAAAATGTAATAAAGCTTATTGAAAGCTAAGTTGACCTCAGACACAGCAACTGTTTTTGCGATTGCATTGGTCATATTAAATTAACTATTAAATGGCTGCTAATTGGTTAGCTACATGCATGAACTGTTCCAGAAAGAGTTAGTGGTAAGTAACAGATTTTTTAAATGGGCACTGATTTTATTTTGGAGTAGGTCTGAAGTGGAACTTTTCAACTTTTTGACAGCTGGCTTTCATTTTCAGGCCTAGAACTTGTCTCCAATACTTTCTTTAAGGGTCTGTGGGCACACTATAGTTTTTTTTGTTAACGGAGGCATTAGCGGTTTTTAAATGTGATGAAATGATTGACAGGAGTTTGGTTCCCTGAAAGATAACAAAAGCTATTCAGTGGAAAAGGTTAATTGCCTTTTTCAAAGGAATTCTGTGCTAATCATAATAACCACTCAACCAGTGTGAGGGTCACTGAGCTCGTAGACTCGTTCCGTGAAATTAATGTTATGTAACTGAAAGACTGTGCCTGTGCACCCAGACCGGCCATATTTAGTTCAGCTGATCAGGTGTGTAAACCTACCTGACAGTTATTGATGTTCTGTTTTACTGTGGGCGTGACCCTGAGAATCCACTCTGCCCGTTTTTGCCTGTGGGAGCCACCGGAGCTCAAATTGATCAGCAGTGACAGCGGTGACACGGGCTTGATGCTGGGACGTGGGAGTGTTAAGATGGCCTCATTTGAAGCTAATCATGCATTTGATAGCCGTAGCTCACACGCTGACAGTACTCTAAACCGTCGCTCAGCTGCTCCCTAACATGTGGTGTATACGCCTAGTTTACTGTGGAAGGATTCCTGCTTCTGCCAGAATGTGGATTTTCTGTCTCACATGACAACTAATTTTAGAAATTTTCATTAAACGTAGGTGTTGCTGTGGAGGTGTGGAGACAGAAGAGCTTAAAGGCATATCAGATTTCATCTGTAAGCTCTCCCGAAGGCTCCCCGCTCATTAACCTTCCGGAGGTTATCTGCTGTTCACAGCTACAGATAGCGCAGACGAAAATAGCCTCTCATTTCCCCTGTGCACACCCGATGTATTCTTAATCAATCACACCATCAATATCAGATGGATTTATACGTTTACTGTAAGCGCTACAAAAGTGGAACTACTTCTATTAAAATTTAACAGCGCTGCACACCAATCCTCAGAAGAGTCTGTTGCATCCATTTTCGGCCCCGGCTTTGTAGTTTCCTAATATCGTTTTCTTTTTCTTTTTTCACTTTGTTGTTCAGATTTATGCCTTTATTTTCTACCGCACTTTGAACATGAAAGTAATTGATTTTTTCAGCCCACATGAAAGACATAAATGCCGGAATACAGAGAACATAAACAGTTAATCAAAAAGAACACTAAAGTGGCTAAATCAGAATTGCAAACAAGGTTGGTTACATTAGCTTCTGTGCCAAATAGCAGCAAATCCATCATGTTCTTGTTGGTACCGTGTGATGGCCGTTCCCCTTCATTAATTCCGAATTTCTCCATTCACGTGAGTGACAGTAAATAAATGAGAGTCAGATCCTTCTCCACAGAGCACAAGTGGCTGCCGGATGGTTTGATGAGTGCAAAGATAATGTGAAAGCTGAGGCTACAGCTGTCACATCCACCTCTGGGAGATTTTTGAACATGTTAAATGAACCCTGTCATCTAGAAATGGCATTTATAAAAAAAATATGTTTTTGTGAAATATCAGAATCTACATACGTTGACTTTTACCAGCCTACCTGTGCTGCTTAAATCTGGATATGAACACTAGTCTAGTCTTCTGTGTGAAACACCCAACGGCCTCTTGCACTGATTTGTTGCACTTCCGTTCTGAAGTCTCAGTTTTGCATTCGCCATTGTGTCAGGATGGAAGCTGTTGGGTGTTATCAGCAGTGTTGGTCAAGTTACTTAAAAAAAGTAATTAGTTGCTGATTACTTCTCCAAGAAAGTAATCCCATTACTTTACTGATATTTATTTTCAGAAGTAAATAGTTACTTTATTACTTAGTTACATGATACACAACCCAAATACATACTAAAGCAATAGACCTTTCAGCCCAATTCTATTTTTTCTGCATAATCCATCATATAAAATTGAATCAAGTGAAAAACTTGTTTTATTAGTTTTAATCTTTTAGCTTTATGCACATTGCATTAAGCAAAAATGTAATTATATGAAACAGTCTTTGACTTGAACTTTGTTTAATAATTAAACCTATTTTTTTGCATATTCCAGCATATAACATAAAATAATGTTTTAGCGGCACTAAGTCCTGTCGCTCTTATATCTATGGTCACCTGGAGGTTTGCCCCGTGCTGCAGCGGTCATGTCAGTGGGAGGATCTCTGTGAATTTCACACTCCCGTGGCAGCGTGCTAGGTGCTTGCTCAGATTTGAAGTTAAATTTTTTGCTGTAGAAAGAAGTTTTCTTCCCACGCTGAGTGTACAGCAGATGCTAATGTTTTTGTCACTTTTTACGGAATCAAGTAACGTCAGTACGTCCATACTTTAAACGCTGCACAGTCGTACTCTCTCCCGCTCTCCATGTTATCCATTATTGATCTACACACGTCTGTTGCTGCCACGGACGTCGCACGCTTTTACGTAATTGTCATGAGACACTCTCACAAACAAAATCATGGTCTACTAACACAGTAACGCAGTGTGCTTACAGGAAAGTGACAGTAATCTAATTAGGTTTTTTTTTCAATAGTAGTGCCTTACTTTACTCATTGCTTGAAAAAAGTAATCGGATTACGGTAACGTGTTACTGCCCATCTCTGGTTATCAGCTATTGCTAACTAGCTTGATTAGCAAGGTGCAGTTACAATTCTATGTGATATCAATGCTACATTTGGTTAGCAAATAAACAGGTGGAAGTAAATAAGTATAATCCAACACCGATTAAAATACACTAATGCAAAGGTACAGAGACCAAAACTCTCACAGACTCATGGGCCATTTGATGCCATGTCCAAAGCGAGTTAACCCACGTTCATTTTTATTTTACACCATAAAAAAGCATGTTTAGAAACCTGGTAAAAAGGGATCTGGCTTCTATGGAAAGTTTCCCCACCATAATAACTGTGTGGACGGACAGATTTGTGTACATCTGGACACTGTAGTTAGGGGCGTGGTCACCTTGGCAGACAGGGACCAGTTGAGGTAGCTGAACTTGACCTGTCTACATGAGTTTTTTTGGTTTGTTCTGTGATACAAAGATTATGATTATGATTATTTTGTGCCCAAGGTCTTTCAATATTTATGCATCAACAATCCTTATCGTTCCCATTTGCAGGTGGAGGAGGCCTTGAGTGAGGTGGATTTTCAGTTGAAGCTGGATCTTCATTTCACTGACAATGAGCAGCAGTAAGTTTCTGAACCACTTTGAAAATATGTGTTTGGTGTGTATTTGAGATGTGAAGTGAGCGACTTTCCCATTTGGCTGCTAGACATCACTTTAAGCACCTGATCACAAATATACGGCATACGATCCATGACTGCAGGGGTTTGTATGTTTGCTTGGGACAAAAGGAAGAAGAAGAAATATTTAGATTGTATCATCATTGTTGATATTGGATTATGAGTGAGCAGCTTTCCCAGTTATTTAAAACTGGTACTTGCTAAAGGCAGTTGCCCTGATATTTCCCACTCACTTAACAAAGAGATGCTCCTTTTAATGTGAATTTTTAGGCGCTACAGGGTCACACTTTTACTATCAGCAATAAAACCACTTCTTTAGTTAATCTGCACTCTGTGGCACAGATACAAAGATTATCAGATTTTAATTTTTTATGTATTATTTAATTCTCATTTTCAGTGCTGAAAAAAGCAGGCATTGAAATTCTGCTTATTTTTAACAGTCTACTCATAACATAAATAACAGTTATGATTCGTCATATTAAAAACTTTAACTGTAAATATTTTCATTAGTGTTTCCTGATTAATTTAATATACCAACGGAGAACAGTGTAGCATTATCTAATTAAAACATCTGAGTACTTCCATCAATGATGTTGTTTAGTTATTCTGTCCTTTGCTACATGAGCCATTCTAATGGAACAGCTGCAAACATTATGGACGATGGCAAAAAAGGACGATTTTCACTTAAAGAGTTGGGTTTTGTTTTTACTCCCTCAGGTTGGCTGATATAGCGACTGTCCCCTTGATCAGTAGTCGGACCCTCAGCCTCCATTTCCACCCGCGAAGAGGTCTCCACCACCACGTCCCTGTCATGTTCGACTATTTCCACCTGTCAGTCATTTCTGTCTCCATCCACGCTTCACTGGTTGCCTTACATCAGCCCCTGCTCAGGTAAAGTCTGGAAAGCTTGCAACTGTTTCGCATCCTGCAGACCCCGAATCTTCACATTACACAAATTTGTATCTGATTTGGTATGATCTCAGGAACCCAGCTATTCTTTTCACTGCACAATCTGCTAATCCGTTATCCAAACCTTGCTTGGATTCATTTTTGTTTCTTTATAAATAAGCCATTCATTTTGTAATCTATGGCTTTGAATGCTGTTTGGAGATGTGTTCAAGAAAAAAGGTCAACCATCTGCAATGAGCAGGTTTTAATTTTTTAAGTGAAAAATTTAACTGAAATGAAACCCATACAATCAAGCAGGCGAGAACGTGAGCTTGAACTGCTGGCACATCTTATAATATGATATATAATGTATCTCTTGGCGAGCTGAATGAATAATTTTCCAAACACTCATCTGATGAATTCAGCCGTCAGTGTCATAGTCGATGTTCCAACATGCATTACATAGATTACTGCAGCACTTGACTGATTGCAGCAGAACTGCTCTTATTTCTCAGTTCATGTCTTCCTTCAGAGTCACAAACACTAAATACAACACAAACATTATTCATGCTTTGCCCCTGCTGTGTCATCCCTGCCCTCTCTCCAGCTTTGCCCGTACAGGAAAGGGCTCCTGGCTTGGGAAGGGCTCGCCAGAGAGCACGAACGACCCGTCCGCCATGTCTGTAGAGAACCTCATGTTCGGCGCTGGCTACTGCAAACCTGTCATCTCTGAGGTGTGTTAACCTTTAGCGGTTCAGCTGCTTTCAAATAGAAAGTCACACAAAGTCAAAGCCTATTTTGTCTCACAAAGCTGAAAACAAATGTCTCCCTTTGAGCTGGTTGTTCTCTTCTTTTTGTGAGCAAGCAGCTAAATGCCAAGCGATGACGTAAACAGAAAGGTTTAGGACAGAGGCCGACAGATTTAGCTGGGATTTGCTTGGGCATGTCATCCAGAAGCAACGGGATTTTGAGCTGGGAAGGGAGTCGTCCTGATTTGGATTACAGATTCCAGACCTTGTCTGTCCTTCGGAATCAGTCATTTGTTGGCACTATGCAGAATCCTGTAGGTTTTAAGACCAGAGGCCAACGTGGTGATTATCACTGTGCAGCGCTGTGGTGTTTCATACTATTTGTTGAAGCCGCTTGCCCAGGCTTGTAGGCTTCCAGGCTTAGCATCTGGAATTGATAGGAACTCCCACTGGAAATGATGGTGCTGTCTCTCATGCTTCTGGCTTATTTATAGCGCACTTAATTCACAATGAAATAAATAATAATCTATCATAATTACTAATCATGATCATATATGGCCTATAGCAAATTTATTTTATTGCCTTTTATTCACCTAGGCGTATATTAGTAAAAAGCTGTATTCAATAGTAGCAGGTGATAAAAGACACACATGACTCATGTTCATTATTGTGACTCAACAACTTCTTTCTTTAGTTTTGTAATTAGCCTTGATTCTGTGAGTGTGTAGCTAGCTGTCAGTCAATAGGAGAGAATGCAGCACTTTGGTTAACAAGCCCTACAGCTCACAGATAAAAGTGAGAAATCTGCAGGCGTACGGAGACACAACCAGTATGCAGCAGGCGTGTCAAACGTATGGGAAGCGGGCCCGAAAAGGCCTCATCAGAGGCTCCAGTGTGAAAAGATATCATTAAAAATCAGAGTGGTGATTCCAGCAATTTCTTTTTTCCAAAAGACTCATAAAAAGGTTTTGTGCATTTGTCGATCCACTGTGTGGGTGCATTTGAGACACAGTGCCACTTATTTACCATCATTTCTCCTGTAAATGGAAGATTCATGTATAAAGTTACATGCACTTCTTAAAACTAGAAGAAAATGTTTTATATTTCAATATGTTACAATGCAGTGAATGCTGTGAAAGCACGGGTGAATGATAGTTTTAATCTCACATAGATTCCTGTCTAGACTAGTTTGCATAGTTTACAGATAAGGAGCCACACAGTATCTCTTTGCACTATCAAGCAACTAGCCTGTCCTCGTGACTCTTTGGACTCGGAGCAAACAGTACTGAGCAGACAAAAGGAAACAAAAAGTGTCACCTTTTTCAAGTCTTCCAAGAATTGCAGAACCCAATGCAGCGGTGTACTCCCAACACAACTCGAATCTATGATAGTTTCACTGCTGCTGTTTTCAGGTATCACCGCATATCCAAAAATTATATTTTGGGGCTGTTGCTCCTTACCGAGTTTAGCTTTCTTGTGTATATTTGGTAATTACACCAACATAAGGTACAAAGAGTTTTTCCTCAGGTTTTATAACATGCATCTCTCAGGTCTCCGTGAACGTCACGGTCTGCACAGTAAATCCTAATGAGCTCCCAGGCCCCCACGCCACCTTGCCTCTCCTCCTCCCGGTTTTTACTCCCACCCCTGGCTGGGCGCTTTAATAAGCTCAGCGTTTAGCCAAGCGGGGGGGGTTCCGTTTGATCACAGTAATGAGTTGTGCTTGCAAGCGCCACGTACCACATAGCTGCAGGTGAAAGCTGCGCACAACGCTGCAGACTCTTTCACCTTTATTTATTTACAGCTTTTTACCCGCGGCTACGCTTAGTTTCCAGCACTTTCCCCCTTAACATGTGTCATTTTGTCTAAATCTTGTGCTTCTGCTGTAAGATAAGACTTTTTAAAATGTGGTGTTTCTTTGTGGAATGAAACGCTACCTGCATGCTTCAGAAGTAAACGGCTCCGTAGCCATAAACAAGCAGCAAACAGAAGCAGAAATCGACATCAGGTGAACTGTGGCAGATTTTAACCATTGTTAGTGTGCAGAGAAACTGTGCTTTTAGGATAATGACTAGTTTATGGGGGGAAAAAAGCTATTTTTCGGTGCATCTCGCTTACAGACTGTTCCCCAGCGGGCCTCTATAAAGCTAAAGAGAATTATGGAAGTAAACATACAGGTGTTCCTTCCTGGTTCGGGTATACTCCACTGGAGCAATTACAGAGTGTGCACAGGTATGATGATAGGGCCGGCAACTTTACTAGCTCGAGGGAAATTACAGTATGTCCTGATACTCAGGCATCACATGCCTTTTGGAGCTCTACGCTCCACAGAGGCAGCCAAAAATCTCGGCACTGGGTGGGAAGAACTCTGATGAGTGTTTGGGGTCAGGGACCATGGATGGTTGTAGGCATACTGTGATGACTCACGTCTAAAGTGATACAGTCTTTTTGGACCACTGTCTCTTCTAGAAGACTTCAAGGCTTTGGTGATTTGTAGTTGGTTGCACAGTGCCAGCAAATGCTATTAACGGCTTTGGTGAAGCACAGCTAGAGCCCGTCTTTCATTGTTAGAGAGCCATCTGCTGGAACAAAGGCCCATATTACAGCCCAGATTTTACTGGCCGATCAGAAAGCAGAGGTTTGTACTTGAGCTACCAGATCTTGTTGTTTTTATTATTTCTCTTTATATGTGCTGGTTCCTCGTCAAGCAGCTTTTCACCTACATTTTAGCATACACTTATTTATGTAAGAAAGAAACACTCAGTGGTAAATGGGCTGGCAGGCAGATGAGTGAGCCACAGCAGACACTGATAGGGGTTAGTTGTTTTTGTTATACTTGATGACTCGCACCCTTTACATTCTGAGTTTCAGTTTCCTTCTTTTGGATGAAGTGCAAAATAACATGGTATAAAAATAACTTTTCTACACCAGCTACCAAACTGATGGTGGTGCTTTCCTGACGCAGATGCAATTTTTTGGGCACTATTTGGGGGATGACTCATCTACTCAAAACCATATCTACCTACAGGCACAAACAAAGGACCTGTGTTTGGACGTTTGATTCTAGTTCAGTGGATATAATGTGAAGCATAGTTAAATACTATTTCATACAGATTGTTGCACCGATTTTAAAAAGACTATTCTCCAAACAGTGCTTTGCTTCTTGGGCCAAGTTCCCACACCTGGGACCTCTGAAGGCCCTAAAGGGCTGCCATACATCCACGTGTGCCACATAAATGTCTTGATCTGCTTTTGCAGCTCACAGCTAGCTGTTTTTAAGAGGCATTTGTTTTATTGTATCAGATCTTCCAAGGAGTTATTGTGACTGCAAAAGTAAGCTTCTATTACTAAGAGGTCAGAGCAACAAACCTTCAAACCAGTCTATAGTAGAGCCTGTTAAGTTCAAGTATGTGTACATGTTTGTCATTAAAAGAGGACATTGTACTTGAGAGGTGGCTTGTGACCTACATAGTAGCTGACATTTCCTCTGTCCTTCTCCTCAGGGAAGTTTTTATGTGCCCAGTGAAAACTGCCTGCAGAGAGCTCATACGTGGCACCGGCGACTCTGTCGCCTCCTGTTGGTGGCACACAGAGGCCTGCACACGTACTACACAGCACTCATGAAGGAGATCCCACAGCTGCAGCAGATTCCTCTGGAATCAGGTGGCACATATATAGAAAGCCTTGGACCTGTTTCTTCATTAAAAGTCTAGTGAGATCTGAAAATAACATATTGGAACATTTTAATAATGCAGGAACTGTTTTTTTTTACGACAATGTAAATTATTAAAAAAATATGATTAAAACTGTAGAAAAAGTATTATTTTAATGACCTTGTCAGAAAGTAATTTAAAATCAGCCCAATAGAAATAGAGGACTAACATTAAACAGTTTACCTGTACTGAAAACTAAACTATAAGTACTGCTATTATTTGATGTACTTAGAGTACTTGTTGTGTATTCTGTAAACCTTTTTCCGACTCTGGTACAGTGACAGTATATTTCCGCTAAAACCTTAACTTCGTATATATGTAGTGGAGTACAAGGATGCTGATTGTAACCTCCAGTTTCCTGAACACAGTTTGATCACATGGTCTTAAGCAGTGAATGTAAAAGTTTCCGTATTTGCCCTTTTAGACGGGGCTTCGCGCAGCCTCTTAGCCGCTCAGTAAAACAAGCCATTTCTGTTCCCTTCACTTCAGCTTGTCTATATCTAAAACTGTGCACATATGCTTAACTTGTTTTATAAGATTTTCAAACTATATGTGTGTATGACCCCCTGTCACAGGATAACGAAAGTTAAAACTCCCCAAATATCTTTATTCCCACAGATGTGTCGCCTGTAGAAGAAACGCTAAATCAGCTGACAATAGAGCTACAGGTAAGTTCATGTCTTTGTATGATAGTAACAAACATATCTTATCTTATTGTATCTTTATAAATATTTTATTACACAAAAAGTAGGAAAAATGCAGGTTAATCTATAAGTAAAAATAATTAAACTTAACAATCAATCAAACCATTACTTGTATGTGAATTACTGACATAACGCTATTTTATTTTTAACCTCATCAACGCAGAGCACACACTGACAATAACAAAAATACTTTATTATAGAGCTCTATGTAAGAAAACATTACTTTTTTAGAGTCTAACCAACAAAGCAGCCTCTGTCACTTTTCACTTTGATATGTCACTAGTCCATAGTACCTGCTGTTTCCTGTTTGTTTCTATTCTAATACAAAAAAGCACCAGCACGCTAAGAATAGATTCACATTAAAAAAGTTATTTCTTTATATTGTTATGTGCTTCTAAGGAATCAAACGTCTTAATTTTTAAAGTGATCTGGAGCAAAAGTTTTCTAGACATTCTAACTCAACATTTTTAGTCCACTCCTTCTCACTGACCATTTATTAAGTCACTCAACACTGACCTATGAACTGTCAAGCAATCAAGTACAGGATGAGCCAGTGTTCTCACCGCACATAACAGAAACTTAGCAAAGAAAGACTTTTAAATACTATCTATAGGCACTTTGTTACGAGCAGCCTGTTAAAAAAAAATCACGATTTGCTTCCATGTGTTTAGATGAATCTGCAAAAAATGCCAAAGACAACTTATAAAATAGTATTTTTACGCCAGTGAGGTGATTACCAGAGAGCTATTAGTCAAAAACTTGGCGTATCTCATCATGGTGTGCAATGTGCTCTTAAAAAATTGGAGGTAACTGAGCAAGTGTCGGACAAAATAAGATATAGCAGACCTAATGATATATATCACAGATGAACAGTATCTGATTTAGGAAAAAATCCGAAGACGCATCAGAAAAGGACTCTGTGGAAGGGTGGTGATAGTATAAGTAGTGGTTATAAGTTTGGGGTTCAAATCATTGAGTGGGTCATCAGAGATATACAGATACAACTGGAGTTCTGATTGGCAACAGCTTTTTTTTTAGCTTGACAATGACCCCAAACACACTGCAGTAAAAACATAGACACAGTGGAACATTATCAGTCATAGACAGGCCTCTCCAGAGTCCGGACCTCAACATTGCTGAAACAATGTAACAGTTTGCTGTGGCTATAGCTCAGGAGGTAGCGCAGGTCAGCTGCTGATTGGAAGGTTGGTGGTTCGACCCCCGGCTCGCCCAGTCGGCATGACAAATATCCTCGTGTTGTACTAACCGACTTGCTCTCCAATGCATCCATCAGAGTATGAATGATAGTTAGAAAGCTCTCATAGTGCTTGTGTGAATGGGTGTGTATGGGGTGAATGTGGCGTGTTGTATAGAGTGCTTTGAGTACTCCGGGAGAGTAGAAAAGCGCTATATAAGAACCAGTCTAATTAACAGTGTGCAGTGTTCATCTTGATCAAAAAGCATAAAGCAGCCAACATCCAAAGAAGAGTGAATCCTGGAGAACTATTCCTGAAGGCTCCTTAAAGAAATGACATGAAAGCTTGACTAAGAGAGTTCAGGCTCTCGTGATCTTTATGTTTATGTGCGGGAATCTATTCTTAGTACTTATTTCATTTTACTTCCTTTAGTTTAGCTGAAAAAAAAGAAGTGTTTTAGTTCCCTCATTTTTTTGTCCCGTCATTGTTGTTGTCCTGATGGCGTTCACCTGTTATTATTATTCTCCATGCTGTGTGCAATTAGTTGGTTTTCTACTTCAGTCTTTGTCAGCTTGTTGTGTGATCTCCGTCTCACTCCTTTCCCTCTCTGTTTGTTACTACTAAAGTGCTTTTACCCTGGTTGTTTTTCTGCATTTGGTTTTAATTTCTGTGTTTTTCTGGCATCTCAGTGTGCATTGATATGTGCCTTAATCAGAATATGTTGGGGCATTTAATAAAATCTGTTTATGAGGCCGGAGCTTTTCAGTATAATGAAGCTATTAGATGATACCAGTAAAAATGGTCGTGATTAGTGTTTAGGTGAGCAGCTGCCAACCAGTCAATCTAGGATCTGACAATTCTTCGCTGTGTAGGCAAACTGCCACTCCATACTTGAACATAAATTTCATATTAATAATCTGCCCACAGTCATTTTCATATCAGACAGATTGTAGACACTGTTTTCTTTGTAGGTATGAATATGTGAGCAGGACAATCACCCAGCCTTGGACTTGTGCATGCTTTATTCTGGGAGTTCTTTGAAATGCAACACTTTCAGCTAAATATTACAGGACTGCGTTTTTCTTTTCAGCTGCAAGAAGGCCACGAGAAGGTGGCGGAGCAGATCAGCAGGGACGTAAGCGAGCTCTGCTTCCAGCTGGCTGCTCTGTGGAGCTGCTTCCTGGAGGCCGCTGTGTTCAACCCCCACATCCTGTCCTATCTGGCCCAGGAGCACCACACGCTCAGGGTGAGAGTTCAGCTCCATCAAAGGCAGGCTTATACAATGTTCAAACGTCATCATTTGCCTCTCTGAGGTGCTGAGCCTTTATTAGGCCCTGGTGCCGATATGTTTAAATATAGTGATTGTGATCCACCCACGCTAAAATGCAAGAATACCACAGAACAATAAAACATGTTTCATAAGCACTGACATTTTGTCTCTGAAAGCAGCTCCTTAAAGGCATGTTGTCACCAGTTTTCAGAAAGTAACATGATACTGAACAGTCTGTCTAAGAAGAATCAAACTAACTTTCACATTGATGAGGAAAAACATGTCAAAGTTAAGCCCAATCAATCAAGCATCAATAACTGTTATGCACTAAAAAAGTTCGGATGATTACCTATAGAAAGCACTGTTAAATTTGTCCATCATGAAGATAGTTTGGATACAGCGCTTTCACAGGACTCAATGCGCACTCGTGAAAAATGAAGTACAGCCTTATTGCTTCCAATTTGGAGGTTAAGTAGGAGCCAAGTGCTACTGATTAAGTGATCGTCCCAAAAAGGACTGACCTCTGTAAAAGCAGGGTGACACAGTCCTCCCAGGGCTGGACATCCCAGCAAATTCATCCCAAGATTACCTCAAGCAAAGCTCAGAGATATTACAAAAATTACTTTTTAGGAAGAGCTGCCAGGAGAAAGTATCGTCTCCCTAAAAAGAACATGGCAGCGACTTTGGTTGCATCTTAGCAAACCTCAAGACTTGAAAAATCCATCAATCAGATCAGACCTTCTACCTACTGTTTATCATCTTCTTCTTCTACTACTACCAATACTGGCTGCTCTCTGTTCACTGATCATCACCCACATCCTTAACCTTCAACACCTTCTTCCCAGATATCTGGCAACTCTTCCCTACCACCCAGGACCAGTTTTTGTGCTTTGCTCCTTCTTCAACTTCCAATATTTAATCCCTGTTCCTGCCTTCACTTGCTTCCTTTTCTTGACTTCCAAAGTCAACCTGCACCCTACCAACACGGTGTTGTAAAGATGAGTGGGCCAAAAATCCCCCCACAGTGATGTTAGAATCTAATAAAGTCATAGAGAAAGTGATTACTTCACATTCCCGCTAGTAAAGATGGTTCTATAAGCTCCTGAATGAGGTGTACTTAGTTTTTCACAGGAGTGCATAAAGTTCTGTAAAAAGAATATACTTGTTACTGTCTCCTTAAAGTTTGGTATTGGAAATACATCTGATCCCATGACATCAATGTCTGTTTAAATACATGAAGATAATAAGATACCAGAGGCAGCCAAGTCAGTCTTTAAAAGGGGAGCTTTGTTCTCAATTCCAGCTCTGCATATTTATTCTTGGATTCTTCTAGAGTAACTGCACATGATTTAAATTTATTATTATACATCCATACTGACCCTCAGTTCATCCTCTGTCTAAATAAGCCTTATAAGCTCTCCCTCCCCTGCCCTTAAGCCTAGTTGACTTTCTCAAACAGAAGATTTGATCGCAGGTGAGTAAGGAGCATGAAAAGTCTGTGCTTAGCTTACTGACAGGGCTGGACTGGGACAAAAAAATCTGCCCGGGCATTTTGACTAGAGACAAGGTATTATAGGAAAAGCCATAAAGCCTTTGAATGGAAATAAACGCTGTTGTGACAGTGATATGCACTGTCTTGTTGGTATATGTATGATTTCTATACATGTTACATCAGGTCAAAACTTTGGTTGTAAGATTCAGATAATTATTCATTAAAAGCAAAACATTTTAAATGTTAATGCCCTACCTGGCCACCTGCCAAAACTTTGCTAGACCCGCCGCTGCACAGTTACCAGCTGTCAGCTACTTAGAAAAGGATCCTGGTGTTATTTGTCTCTCAGAAACAGTTCATAACTTCCCTTCAACTCATTCATGTCACCTAAAAGCTGTTTCTGAGGGGTGCAACGACACACAAAATTCACAGTTCGTTCGATACTTTGGTGTAACTGTTCGATATTATTTTATATGTTTTCAATACAAAAAAATGTTCATGCCTTTTTTAATTTGTCATTTATTAAAATTATAAACACATATTTTAACTCAAAAGTACAGTTGAGGCAATTGCCATGTTGTAACAAGCTTAACTTCTGTCTTGCTAGCTTGCACTGCGCTCAGTGGATCTGCACTCGACAGTGCAGCCTAGGCGGAGTAAAATGGTAAATGGCCTGTATTTGTTTAGCACTTTACGAGTCCCTAAGGACCCCAAAGCGCTTTACACATCCAGTCATCCACCCATTCACACACTGGTGATGGCAGCTACATTGTAGCCACAGCCACCCTGGGGCACACTGGCGCCACCGGGCCCTCTGACCACCACCAGTAGGCAGCGGGTGAAGTGTCTTGCCCAAGGACACAACGAGCGAGACTGTCCAAGCCGGGGCTCGAACCGGCAACCTTCTGATTACAAGGCGAACTCCCAACTCTTGAGCCACGATCGCAGTCAAACACAGTTCCACTGAGCGCTCAACACAGACAGCATCGTTAGAAGAAAAGTTGATAAAATAAATTAAAAGATTTTGTATTGTTCGATACATATGCGTACCGAACCGAAAGCAGTGTATCGAACGGTTCAATACCGATACGAGTATCGTTGCACCCCTACTGTTTCTCCAATCACCTGTTCAGCTCTGATGATTCAGTAAGGACATCTCCTGGTTTCATTTTCATGTTTCCCTCTCACCACCAGAGGTGGAAAGAGTACTCAAAATTTGTACTCAAGTACAAGTACTGTTACACTGGTTAAATTGTACTCAATTACAAGTAAAAGTACTGGTGTTAAAAAAATACTTGAGTAAAAGTACAAAGTACTGTTCTCAAAAACTACTCAGAGTATTAATTACTTTTTAACAGACTGATGTTTTATTCTGTTGTCAATAGCAGGCATTCAACTCGATTCACCAGTATAAATATTTATGTTCAAAGCACATTTTTCAGATGAACAAGGTATAGAAAGGTAACTTGTTTTGTAAATAAATGTAGATATAAAAGGAGGAATTTTGTTTGTTAAAACAATGACAAAAATGTTTCTGAACATGCGTAGAACCATTTAAACTTTTCCCCATACACTGAACAACAGGCAGGTAAGTGTCTTAAAGTCTTAGCATTTCTTTCACACTTTACTTTCTGAACCTTTTGTTCAGTTTCAGCAAGAGCTGGTTTTATAAATTAACAGAGGCAATCCGACTTCGTTTGGCAGTGAAGAGTAGACCAGCACAGCTAAAAAGTCGTTCACACGCAGCAGAAGCAGGCAGAGCTGTGTTCAGTTTAAGAGAGAGGTTTTTGATGGCTGAGAAGGAGTGCAGCAGCTCCATGGTGTCTGTGGCACAAGCAAGATAACCATCAAGCTCAACTGCACTTTGCAGCCTTCTGGAGATTGGTCTGGAGAAGAATTCATCTTCATCAGATGACTCTCTTTGCTGATCCTCACTCTCATGCTCTGTCGTTTCAAGATGTTGTTTGATGTATGTCAAGGCTGTAATTGCAAGTAGATAACACAATTTTGTTATTTAAATTTCAGTGATTATTCCTGAACACAAATTTAAAATCGGCAAATTCTCAAAAAGGATTGTTTAGTATTCAGGACAGACCATCAATAACTTACAATGTATTAGGTGAAATACTCACTTAAGCATGTGTTCAAATGTAAAAATACACAAAAATGGGATCACATGAATCCTTACCAGCCTCTGTTACATCTGCTCTGTCAGTCCAGGAAGTCTTGAACTTGGGTAAGAGGACTGCAGCTGCAGCCAACTCTGGATCCTCCATCATCGCTCCAAAACGCTTTTGAAGGCCATTTTGCAGGGCTCTGATGAGTGGCACGCATGTCTTGCTTGATGTCTCCAGCCTGCTAAGTTTGGACAGTAGTTGTTGGATTACTGGCAGGAGCCATCCCATAAAGGAAGTGGACTCAGACTGAAGGATGTTTGAAGCTTTCACCAGTGGCTTCATGGTGGTACAGTACTCCCTTAGGAATGCAACTTCTGCAGGACTCAACCTGTAAGACACAACAACAAAACCCACCATGACTATAATAGGGATCTTCTGATTTAATATTAAGAGTCTGCTCACGTTTTTAACCATCCATTAAGGAAAATTCACAAAATTTGAAACCATATTGGTAGGTGTCCAATTTTACTCACATTTTCACCTTGAACTCCTCACAAATGCTCCTGATGGCATCTTCCCCCTTCTCATCAATGATGCGTATTATCCTTTCAATGGCAAGGTAGGTTGAATTCCATCGTGTTGCATTGGGACGAATGATCTGTAGCTCACACTTGTCCTCTACCACTTCATTAGCCAAATGAGATCGGCCAGTTTTGTTCCAAATGGCCTGGCATTTTGCAAAGGTTGCACGGGAGAGCCTCTTGTAGGTTTCATTCATGCTCTCTGCTAGGGCAGCATCAGTTGTTGCCACAAGGTTTAGCAGGTGACATGCACATCGCTGATGAGGCGGAAGTTGATACTCCAAACCAGAGTCTTCATCAAGAATTGCACTTGCCTCATGGTAGTCAATATGGTCAGTCAGGTCAATAGTTTCTGGGTCTGCTTCATCTTCAGCTTCATCTGCATCATTTTGTGCCCCAAACATGTGGAAGGCCTTGACAAAGTTGGATCCACCATCAGTTGTGGTTCTTACAACTTTGCCTCTAATCTTGTATTGGCAATGGATATCATCAAGCGCACCAGCAAGCATGTCAAATGTGTGAGACCCTCTCAATCTTTTGCATGCTAGTGCTGCAGATCTTCTTTCCAGGGACGCTTCCTCTATCCAATGGCATGTGACTCCAAGGTAACTTTTCTGATGAGCTGACCAACAATCAGTAGTGGTAGCAACAAATTTGACTTTATCCAATGCTGCAACCAAAGTCATCTTCATGTGATCAGCAGCTTCACAGATTCTGGCACGGACAGTGGGTCTGGAGATGACTTTGGCTTAAGGTTGTAATGTGGTAACCAATTCTTTGAAAGATGGCTGTTCTACCACTGCAAATGGCTGTAGACCCTCACATATGAAATTGATGACAAGCTTGTCAACAGTTGCTTGTGGAACATGTTTGTTTGCAGCTCTCAACATCAGGTCTGGTAACTTGGCTTGTGTATTTGCTGAGAGCTTGTTTGGTGTGGCTGTGGTCTTTCGCTGTCGAGATGTTGATGCCACAGTGATATTGTACTGCTCAGTCTTCGATGGATGTTTCCTCTGTAGAGATAAATATTATCATACGTCAGGTTCATACATTACTTCATAACATCACTGTGATTAACACTAAAAGAAAACACATTTTTAAAACATTATTCAACTAGACTTGAGCTAATCTTTGATTGTTGAGCATAGTATAAAAGAGTGGTGAATTGGTCAAATTTTGCAGATATATTGCTGTATTTATTCACAAGTGTAAACCAATTTTGAACGATCATTGCAAAAAACATGAATTTCTGTATACATTCTAAGTTCTGTAATATGTATACTATCTGTAAAAAGAGTATCGACCAATGTATCAGTATCTAAATTTTTAACTCCTTTTTATCAGTATCACCCTAAAGTTTTCAGTATTAGTCAGGTCCTAAAAATACTAAGAGAGCAAAATATGTGTATCTAGCAAATCTAATTTAAGAAAAGGGATCACATACACAAAAATGCTGCCCATACAGCTAACAAATAAAAACAATCCACATTATGTTCTTTAAAAAAATATATCATATTGGGAAACATATAACCCTACTGATTAAGAGCCACGTCACTATGATAGACCTATATCAGGCCAATGATACTGATCAACTGATCCATCAATCGGGCTCTGGTACATGTCAGCTGAGAGCTGGAAGATTAATTTGAGATGCAGCTCAGCACTGTGTTCAAGTTTGTTTGTTTTTTTGTGTGTTTGTTTTTTTAAATATAGGCCAGCTAATTGTAGGCCTGTGAGTTTTAAATGACTACAAGTTTAATTTATTGTAATGACGGTGGTTATCCAAATAATAAGCTAAAACATTCCTACGAATTGTAGCTCAATTATGCATGCACACACGCACATTAGCTAGCTCCGTCTTATTTTAATATCAGGCTAACCAATGGCGGTGACAATATCTTAGCCAAACTAGTAACCTTAACACACATGAAAAATAAGAAAGCAATATCATACACGTATAGTTGTAAAACCTCTTACCTCAATGTGTTTTTTTAGATTAGATGCTGAAGTCTTGTAAGCTGAAATGACTGTAGAGGTCAAACAAAGTTTGCACTGCATCTGGACGCTGTCTCCTTTTCTTCCTCTGTACACGAAAAATTCCTCCAGGTATAGCCACGGGCACGCGTCCTCCGTCTTTTCTACGTCGTTTTCATGGTTGACAGTGTTGTCCTCTGTCTCCATTTTGGCTTCTTTGTCTCCAAATCTTTCGTCTATAAAGTAGTTTATACTCCACCATTTAGCACCTCCAGACACCTGTGCCTGCTGCTGCAGCGGAGTTTATTCTTTGCTTACGTCTTAAATTGGCGCGGTTGCGATTGCACGGCCTTATTGGCTGCAAAAATGCAGACGAAAGGTTTGAATATTAATTCAAATTGTGGGCGTACTCAGTAGTGACTTTTGATTTTATAAGTAGCGAAGTAGATTACATGGTGTAAGTTGTACTCAAGTATGAGTAAAATTACACACTTGAAAAATTACTCGTAAAAGTACAAGTACCCAAAAAATGTACTTAATTACAGTAACGTGAGTATTTGTAATTCGTTACTTCCACCCCTGCTCACCACATATCCAAACCGATGTCATGACCAGCAGGTTTACAGCTGTGGCTCCAGCAAACATCAGCTGATACTAGAAATTAATATTAAAAAATTCTAACCACAGTTGATCAAGCGTAAACGTGCTGCTGTTGTTTAGCGCGACATCCGCTGGTTTCCTCTTTCTGGCACAAAGTGTGCGATAAACAAACAAAAGAGACGGGACTTGAGACAGAAAAGCCGATCAGCTGATCATTGATCAGTTTCATGATTGAAATAATAACAGGAGAGAGAGGGGAGAGAATGAGCAAACAAGAGGCAGCTGTGCAGCAAAGACACAGAATAACTCCAGCTTTGTGTCTTTTCCATTCTAGCTGAAGTTCGGGACAAACTGTGTTCCTTCTCAGCTCAATACGAAACACGTAATATTTTCCCTGAATATGAGACGATTCCGTTTTTTACGGGACGGTTGGCAACTCTACTAACTAACCTTATGAATAAAATAAAGTTCACTATCAGTAACATCATAGCACCCACCCAGCTGTATAGAAACTCCATTATGCTAGCTAGTACGCAGTATTATTATTGTAGCTGACTGTAAAAAGTCAGCACAACGAAAATAAAACTCCACCTAAACTCTGTTTATATCTGACCCAGATAGACTGCAGGTCACAACTTCTTACCTGAATTTTAGTTCACCTGACACTCAGACCGGCGGCCGCCTCGGGTCTCTGCTCCTCCTGCCTCCCCTTTCCCTCATCCACCTGCTGGCCTCTGTGGAAGCTTCGCCATAGAAGCCACCACCAAACAACTGAGTTATTTTTACACATCTGCCAGCATCTGGCCAATCCACCACCTTTCGTTGTTTATACCGTTAAAAAAAACAACAACAAAAAAACATCAGCCCATGAAAATGAAAAATCACCATCGGGCATACCGGGCAAATACCCAGTATGCCCGATGGCCAGTCCAGCTATGCTTACTGAATATGTGTAAGATCAGAGACAAAGGTTTAAATGATGTAATTTCATATCATGAACCCCTGATCAGTCATGTCCCATTAAATCAAGTTGTCCTTTTTTCCATGTACATAATTTATTCTGTTGTTAAATATTGAATACACTAATTTCCAATCTTGTGTAAAATGCATCAAACCTGTTGCCATTAACACAGCAGGCTTGCTGCTCCCTCTCTGAGTCCACATTTAAACTATGTTTAGTCTCATTGCTGATGCACTTGACTATTTGTGAGCTTTGAGTGTTTCAAAAGGAATCATTCAAATTATAAATGCCATTCTGGACCTCTATATCCTAAAGCTTTCTGAGCAATCTAATATGATTTCCCCTGCAGTTTCTATTAAATCACTGGGCTGTTTAATATGAAAATGTGCTACACAGTGGAGTAGCTCTCAAGCTTTTTTGTCTGTTTTTTGTGCTCATCAAATACTTGGTAAATTTTTCTTGCTTATTGAACCAAGAAATCGAACCCAACCATATGTCTGCCAGTGATCTGAGACTGAGACTGAGGCTCTTATCAAAATTAATTTGTTTGTATGTCTTTGGAAACACAAGGTCAGGAGGTTCTCTGAGGCATACTTTTTCACCGAGCACCACAAAGAGATATCTCTGACATTTCAAGAGGAATTGTAAGTACCACCCCTGTCAGAAAGCTCATTCTGTGAGTGCAAAGAAGTATAATATTTAATATTGAATTGTCCTGATTTAGAATCAATAGACACAGCCAGATAGCTGCAGAAGTACGGAGCTCAGACTACTTGACCAAAATGCCTCCTTTACCTGTTGAGTGCCTGGACATCGATGGAGACTGGAACAGCCTGCCTATCATCTTTGAGGACAGATACGTGGAGTCTCCTCAAACACGTACTACAAAATATATATCTTCTGCTACCTGCTATTAACATATCATTACGTATTGTCTCAGGACCAAACTCTTGTTCTACAAACTGAATTTCTTTGTCTTTCCAGAGTACACATCACATGTGCCAATGCCTGCAACTGCTGATGAACAAACCAACTTAGATCTTGCCAAGAGGATTCTCGAAAGCAGCCAAGAAGCCGTATCACCAGCAGTACCCAATGACTCTCTGGGTAGTGAATGCACGGACCTGCCCTTGTATGTCTCGCTCACAGCAGACCAGAATAAGAGCGACACCAGATGTACCCAGATCATCATTCCTACTGAGGGCAGAACTGAATTTTTCGCAGCAGTGAAGGAAAACTTGACGGAAGCAGCAGAAAATCACAACCAAAATAAGGAGAGCTATAGTTCAGGAGAGATCTACGTTGCAAATAAGTCATGTGATCCTTGTAGAGGAGAGGCAATTTTGGCTCCCTCCTCAAGCTTTAGTCCCCTCACAGATTCTGCAGACAACAGTGACAAGTCTTCTCATCCTGTAACAGAAGTAATTGCCCAACTTTGTGATGCCACAAACCACAGCAAAGCAATAGAGAATGAAAACACTGAAGAGCAGCCTGACATTGCCATGCCTTTAAATCACTCAGTGGATGATGAAAGTGAGGATGTCCCTCCTATCAGTGTACCCGCTGGCTGTCCAGTAATACCACTCTTTCCGGGTGAGCTCAGAAAAGAGACGACTCATCGCGGAGGTTTGGTCGGCACCAAGGTCATGAAGCGCTCGTCCTCTGTTATTTCAGACTCTGGTATCGAGAGTGAGCCCAGCTCTGTAGCGTGGCCGGTGGAGGCCGCACTGCGAGGACGACCCCCTCTGGACTTTTCCAGCGAACGGGAGATCCCACAGCAAATAGTGTTAAATCATCCAGTGCACCGCAGCTATCTGGAAGGGCTGCAGATGGAGAGCAACGGCAGCCTTCCAAGTGGAGGTATACAGGCTTCACTTACATCAATTAGCTCTCTGCCCTATGAGGAGGATCAGCATCAGAGGCAGCTAAGCAAGCTGACCAAGTCTGTTTCTGCGCCGCAGATAAGTAGCCCAGAAGATGTAGAGGATGGCCATATGCTGCTCAACCAGGAAACAGATTGCAAGAGCTTAGTACAACATGAAGATTCATGTAGGACAAACTGTTCTTTGTACAGCAACCTGGATTCTGGACAGTCAGAATTATCACCATTAGACATGAGTTCATCATCAAATCCTGGCCATATTGTCAAGGAGAATGGGACCTCTGAAAAGTCAAACTCTCCACAGTACCTGTCAGAGACATACAGGATAAAGTCAGCGTCAAGCAGTGTTTCTGAAGTATTACTTTTACAAGAGTCTGCAGAAAGCCCTCATGTCAAGGAAAGTGCTGTTATTGGCAGCCAGAGGGAGAATACGAACAATCAAACACACATCAGTGGAGTAACCTCAGTGAAGAATATCTTTGTCGTTGAATCAGAAACAGTGCCCTGCAGCTGTGGAAACAAACCATGTGTGCATGAAAGTGCAACAGATCAGGAGAGGATTAACACGGGAGATGAGTGCCAAAGTTTCCATCAGACCCAACTATTCGGGCCTGAGAAACATGAATGTCTAGATCCCTCACAGATACTTATAAAACCTTCATGCTTCAGTGATCTGCCCAACAGTAACAGCACCACTCAGAGGCCAAGTGACCCCTTGGGTGTGACAAACAGAGAGATAGTGTCACCTGCTGATGTAAATGGAGTATCGAGCTGTGAGAAAGCACCTTTGGACTGCCAATCGAAGGCCACCAAGATCCCTAACTCAGGACTAGCCTTTGTGAACAAGAAGATGGTGGAGGTGGTGAACATGTCAGTCTCCTGTGCCCCAACCTGCCTCCCATTTTCATCCGTCCTGAGAGACTCTCCATCTATCAGTGGAATGTCCACTCGTCAGACTACCTCACCTATCACCCATCAGCCTCTGGGCTCCTTCGGTATCATCTCCTCATCTTCACTCAGTCCCCTGAACATGGATGAAGAGACAAATGAACGAATGCTGAAGTGAGTTTTTCTTTTTCCTAACAGGCATTCTACCTCTTTGTATCCCGCTAAGTTTATTAGTACACTTACTACTTACTTTTGTGTTGCTGCTCAATACAAAAAAGATATTTTAAAGTGCAAATCACATCCAATTTACAGAGTTTTAAGATCTATAAGCATATACAACTTTCTTGTGGTATTTACCAAGCAGTAACCTTTAGAAATGAAAAATTAAATGCATTAGCTAAGCCGGCAGGCCTAGCAATGCTTGCTAGCTTAGCTAATATATAATGTCTCATTGAAATGTGCTCAATTCTCTTTGCACTGCAAAGTAAAATAACTTTTCCCAAAGCAAACAAATAATATATGGGAATATATATGGGAATATGGGAAAAAGCAGAAATACACAAAGAATGATACACATACAATGCCAGTGCTAACAAAGAGACAAGACTTATGCTGCACTTTGGTTTGCAGAACAAGCAAGAGAATCAACAACCGCCTACTTAAAGAAGCACAAGTATATTTTCAATCTGAAGATCTTAAAACTCTGAGGTCTGAGTTGACAACACTGGCAACACCAACTCTAATCCCAACCTAACCATAATCAGTGGGAATTTGTCATATATGTTTTTTTTATGTGTTCCCTCAAGTTCTGGCAATGAGGGAATCAAGAAAAAAAAAATGGACACACTGAAAACTATTCATATTTATTCAAATAAAGGCATCTTTTACCTTTTTCTAAAAACTGTTTTAGGGTAGGACGAGGGTTAGGATTATGGTTACCACCTATGATGAATTTGGCCTAGGGTTAACTGGATGCTTCAAATAAACCTTAAACTTAGTTACCATTAAAATGTGGCATTAAACTGTTGACTTCGGTCAACACTGACCTACTGAGTAGCTGCAAATTTAAACATGTTATTAACATAGCTTTGCAAATGTTCTCAGTCCTATGACATCAGTTCTGTTATGCACTTTTAAAGTTCAAGGACCGATGTGATCAATTTCACAAGTTTTGAAGCGCAGTATTTAGCTTAAATGTCTGTATAACTATCTATTAAATATGTACAGTGTGTCTTGTACAACAAAGCTTGAAGACTTTCTTGATTAACACCCACCAAACACGGAAGATGGAAAAGAAAGTTGAGAATATAATGTTTTTGTTCTTTCTAAAGCTCTAGCCAATTAGTGTAAAAGTAAAGTAACCATCCTAGCAGATGTGCATCAAAATCTGTAGACATTTTTTCTGATAAATACTTGCTTGTGTCCAAAACATTGGGCTAGGGTTTGAGACTTGAGGTCATCACTAATGAGAATTTAGATCTCAGGGGGTTATGGTGGGCTGGATTTATGTTCAGGGTTCCTTTCTCAGTTGGGTGTCAATAAAAATTTTTTCTAAAATTTAGCTCAATTTCTGAAGGAAAATGTTGTGTTATTTGAGTGTTATCATCATCCACACCAGCTGCAGGAAACAAGGCAGTGATTCTTGAGATAAGGGACAAAACATGTCTGGCAGATAAAACCCCAATTTTGTGGTTAAAAATATGCATACAAGTGTTAACCCAACTGCCTAAAAGACAAACCAAGGCAATGTTTATACAACAAAAGTATGATTTTGCATTTTTTATAAATATATATTTATTTTAAATGGTACAGTACATTACCAGTACCTTAAAAATCCATTGTCCAGAAGCAGGTGTGATAATATTAAAATACAGAAAAAAAATTTAAAAGTAATGTAAAATTAAACATCATGGCTCTCGTCACTAAGTATTTAAGTCAATACCTTATATAATATCAAAATATGCAATTGAAACTTTATTTTTAAATATTTTTTAAGTGATTAAAATCGTGTCCAGAGTTTTTGTCAACACCATCAGATTTTTTTAAAAGTACAAAAAATCAGGAATTATTGTGGGTGGCTTACACTCTGAGGACCCCTTTACCACTTCCTGTTTGATACACATGCCATGAGGTCACTGCTGTGATAATTTGTTTGTTTTTATTTCATTTATTGCACACCTTTCTGATAAAACTCTGTGTCACAACCATAGTGCGTCAACACCAAAGTCGATGTAATTAATTATTTTTTTTGTAAAAACAGCCTCATTTAGGTAGATTGTAGAGGCCATCAGCAAATGATGAAAAACAAGATGGCTTCTGTCAGATAAACATGTGTTATGAGAGAAAGTCGGGTATTTTGTCAACACCATCAGATGTCAACACCATCAGGACTTTTGTCTGACCCTTTTTCTAATGGTGTTGACTAGGGCTGCCACGATTTGTCGACTAGTCACGATTACGTCGACGATTTATTTAATAGTCGACGCGTCGTTTGAAACTTTGTACGATCACAAAAGACGCAGGAATAAGTGGCAGGATTTAAGAGTGTAATAACGGACTGAAACAGAAGATGGCAGCATTGCATGTACAAGGATGTCAGCTACTGTTAAACCCCGAAGAAGAAGAAGAAGAAGAAGAAGCAGCTGTGTCCCAGAATTCATAGCGCGGCCCAGCGCAGTTTCCAACAATGGCGGCAGCTAGTTAGTTTTAATGTTACTCTTATTATTCTTTCTGGGTCACAAAATAAACGTTTAACATATTTTCAGGCGAGAATGTAGCTGTGTAAACCTCAAATATCTGCTCAGTTTATCAGGACACCACATATTTTCAAAAGCGCTCCGACGTTTTCGGAGACATCTGTTACTAGCTCGTTAGCGAGCCGGGGGCTAGGCTCACTAGCGCCGTGAGAACACCGGACTCCCCGCAAATCGTTTTCAAACCCACCGCCGTCTTTCGCTACTCAGGTTAAATATATATGAGTCACTTAGATAACTTAAAATGTTATTGTTTGGCTTTTTTTTTTGTATTTTATTTGTTCCTGAGTAAATCAGTTTGTCTGAGATTAAAGTTATAGTTTTTACACAGCTGAATAAACGTCAAGCAGACAGCTGATTATCAGAAGTGTGAGATGCTCCAGAATATACTCCAGTGTCCTGTTATATTTTAGATAGCAAGGAGTTTATTAAACTTCACCGAAACAATCTGCAAATTTCATTAAAATTTAATAAACTATCATCTTGTCTTTATTTTTAGTTAGCACAGACCTTAAACACTTAAAGCTGTAAGCTAATGATAGTTATATAAGAGCAGATGCTGCTGGTGCAATAAGCTGTAGTTTTACGTCCAATGGATGATGATCTGATTAGTCGACTAATCGCAAAAATAATCGGTGACTAGTCGACTATCAAAATAATCGTTTGTGGCAGCCCTAGTGTTGACAAATGTCACAAAAGTGTTCTATTCACCATTTATATTAAGTTATTTTTTACTAATATTTCAGTCATATTACTTCTTGTGTGTTTTACTGATATTTCTGCTTCACAGATGTGTCAAATATTATCAAATTTGCCTTATCTTGAATCTCATTGTTTATGTATACATTATTAATCCTGTAGAGGAATGCAGAGGAAAATGCTTAGTCCTCTGCATTTAACCCATTCACTCAGTGATGCAGTGGGCAGCTACCAATCCAGGATAGCCTCTGTTCATTGGATTTGAACGCCCAACCTTTCAATCATGTGGCATCTACTGAGCTAGCTGTGCCCCGAGAGTTGGTCTTTAAGTGATGATGCTTCCTGCTTCCGGGCCCACACTACTCTTATAGCCTGTTGTGCTGTTAAAATTTTTAATGCTTTTTATCTTGTTCTATTAAATCTGAACAAGCCCCTAAAAACAGCCAGTGATCACTGCCAGCCTAACCATCGGGAATCCTCACGTTAACCTTTATCAAGTGGTAAAAAGTTAGCATTCATCCTCCAGCTTCACTGTGTTTATGTTATGCTAACACAGCTGTGTCGCTAGCGATCACGTAGCACATCACTATATACTAGCTAGCCCAACTTCAGTAACCTGACAATAGTCACTGCTGTTTAGTTTTCTGTCTCCCTTTATGTTGGAAGTGGTAGCAGAGCTGGTGTATCATGTTCAGGTGGAAACAAGCAATCTAACTTCTAACTCTGTTAAATTTCATATATTCTGTTTTCATGGATGCCTGGATGTTACACCTGGTAGAGCCACACACTGATCATTTTATTAAAGATGAAAGAATTTAGACAGTTTGTAACTCTCAGTGATGCCGCAGAGTTCCAAAGTCAAAGGAACTCTGAACCATCAAACTTAATGGCCGGATAGCATTTCTATTGCTTAATGCATAATTGTGTTGTGAATATTCATCCTTAATCTGTGAAAAAGCATAAGGTTCAGAAAAATTATAGTAATTACAAAATGGTACATTTCAGGCTAGAATAGCAAAGGTGAACCTGTCAGTAGAGGAACGAAAGAGAAGGAACAGGGATGATCAAAAAAGAAAGAGAGAAAAAATTAACAGCCAGCCTGAGTTGAAGAAAGAGTTTCTCATAAAGGAAAGGGAAAGATGGAGAAATAGAGTGAAAGAGGGAAAAATAAAGAACACCAGTGATCTGAAAGGAAGAGAAAAAAGTCAGAAGAGAAGGTTTTGGAAACAAGCACAGAGACAAAAGGAGAGAAAGTCCAGCAGGGTCTAAACACACAACCACAGAGAACTTTAGGAATCAAGGAGTAGTAGGCAGCTACTTGCTGGTGAACTATTAAGATGTAGAACTTGACATGTGCAAAAGCAGAATTGTTATGATGTGTCTTGTGATATTACAAAGGTTGTTAAGGTTTAATTGTCATTTTGAAAGAAATAATATCTTGTTTTCTACTAGAGTGTCACCACCGTCAGCACCTTGTCAACTCCATAATATGGAGTTTTTGTTTATTTTTCTCTTTTGGAGAACCATATATTTTCCTCCCTCATGATCTTCCAATAAAAATACATAATTTTCTCAATAAATGTATAATTTGCATGCTGCTTAATATGACTGTTTCTTATACAGATTAAATACAAGCTTCTGAAAATATGTATGACTAACTCTAACAATAAAAAGCCAAAACAATCTTACTTTTAAATGTGGTATAATTACTTTGAAAACCTATGTGCATAAACAATAGAATAGAGAAGCTGCTAATAAGATAAGATAAGATAAGATGACCTTTAATAGTCCCACAGGTGGGAAATTTGTTTTGTTACAGCAAAAGTGCAAAGTTATGTAGCAGAAATTAGAAAACACTGGAATGCAATAAAATAAAATACTATATACAATAGAATAAAATAGAATAGAATAAAATAATATATACAACAGAATAAAATAGAATACAAATGCTATTTACAACTGAGTATGAAAAGTAATTGTCAAAATAGCTGCAACAACTTCATTTAAAATATATATTTTTGCATTTCTTTGTGTCTGACGGTGTTGACAAAAACCTTGCACTTCTCCAGCAAAAACATAAATTATTAAAAACTGTTACACCTGGGAGATTGTACCAAAACATGGTGAGACAGACAAAACTTTGTGTAACAATTATATGTAAATGTGTTTTTGAAAAATCAAAAAATATATTTTAGAAAATTAAAACCTGTTTTGTCCCTAATCTCAGGAATCACTGAAGGCCAAAACATGAGGGGTTTACATGGGTTTTGGGAGATGACTCCTGACATCTGGTGCAGTAGCTGGCAGTTACTCATGCTTGGAAAGTCTAGCATAACAAAATGAAACGAGGGCAAATATGAAGCAAGGAAGCCAAAACGAGGTGAAATGCCTCCTGAATGTATTAAGTCACATCAAAGAGTACACAGACAAATCCATCACGATAAGCTGGAAGTACACTAACTTGAATCGGATTGGCTTTGACTTCTGCATGACTGTAATCTGAAACCTGGCAGAATGACAGAGTAATAAAACTTTTGAGCAGCTTACTGGTTAGTCTGAGACTTCTGTTAAGCAACACGGGCTTGCTCAAGAAGTGGGCAGCATGAGCAATGTAAATTCTGAAAATTGAATGTAGGTTGTCTATTATTTTTGGGCCACACGGCGAAAGCTGTAGGAGTAATTCACTTTTTGGAAAATGAAACATTCATCAACTTGTCTCTAAGGCAGCGGTAGACAATTAGGTTTTCCCAACGGGCTGCAAGTGAGATACTGGGACTGTTGTGGAGGACTGTCCCAGTAGGCTGGACTCAGTTCTGCTTAATATCAATTTTATCTTTTTATAAGACTACTGGCGCGACCCTCCACATCTCATGTGGCCCCTTGGGGAAATTAATTTGCCACCCCTGCTCTTAGGTCTACATGCCAACCCTAAACTCAGGCCTAAGTTTAAAGCTAGGCAATTATAGTATATAATTTTTAAAAAATATTATTAAACTATTCTCTCCAGTGTTTACAGTCAACAGTCATAAAAATGAATCATTCTGTCACACATGAAAAAGTAGCCACATTTTGCCCTTTTAAGACTAGATTACAATTAGAACGTATGATGGCTGAGACAGCAAAGGGTTAAAGGCTTAAATCAGCTCATATCTCATTAGCTTAAAATTGTTCAGTATAAGTTTAGTAATATAATATCACATTTTTTTCTCCAGTTTCTACAAAGCCAAAGAGGAGCTGTTCAAAGAGTTGAGCTTCCAGGCCAGCTTGTACAGCGACCTCCCGCTCCTGGCATCAGATCTCCCCTACTTCCCTCCTGAAGAGGATGATGAGGAGTTTGATGACGGCATACACCTGGTGGTGTGCGTCCATGGGCTTGATGGTGAGGCTGCACATTTAAAAAATGTTCTGCTTCGCTGCGATCCAGTTCCACGTCTGCATTGCACTGACACATCCGTAACTTTCTGTACAGCCTTTCATATCATTCCCTATTAGCATTGTAAATGTAATATAGCCTGATAAAGCCCTACAACTTTATTACACTGCACTGTGCAGTCTGTGAATACTAATTCCCTGAAACTCATTTCAGGTTAACTTTTAAATGTTTATCGAACATGCTTAATAAAAGCAGAGCTACAAACTTTGTGTGTCTGTTTCGTCACCTGCTTCTAGGAAACAGTGCTGACCTTCGTCTTGTGAAGACTTTCATAGAGCTGGGATTGCCAGGATCCAGGCTCGACTTCCTCATGTCTGAGAGGAACCAGGTACATTTGACAGTGACGGGAGCAAAACTGTGAAAGTGTGCTTCGAGGCAATTTGCAGAGCGCTGACAGCCTTGCTTTTCTCCCGTAGGCCGACACGTTTGCAGACTTCGACGCCATGACGGACAGGCTGCTGGATGAAATCATTCAGCACATCCAGCTCTACAATCTCACCATAGGCAGGATCAGGTCAGTCGGCCAGGTTTAACACGCTGCAGCGTGCCCATTATTGACACATTTCATTTTGATTGGATATTAAACCTCTTAATATCCACTAGCTTGCTGGTGAACCCCCTAAGGGCAGAGATAGGGTGCAAATACATTCAAGTGACTTTTCAAACAAGCCTGCTTCCAGAAATTAGAATATATCACCCTTCAAGTTGAGTTTGTAGTTTCATTTTGGTCTTACAGTTCCTCTGCTAGAAGATTCTCATGTGGGAAGTCATTTGAGGTTAAGGGAAACCAGTAAAGGACCAGCCTGAGCAGTATTCAGTCCAGTCAGCAGATGGCAGCAGAGACTTGGCTCTGATTCTTCTGTGGAAGTCTTAACTTCGGAGAATGACAGCTCCGTCATAATGTATAGACTCAAAATGGATAAGTGGCAGAAAACAGATGAAAAGCTCTTATCATACCGTGCCAATAAGCTTGTGACTTTCACATGATAGACTGCGCTGCTTTATGCAGCACTGTGCTGCCTAGTTCCAATCAAATTAAGCTATTCATCTTCCCGCTTAATTGCCCTCAATGTGACAATTTATTTCTTTGTGAGAGTTTCTGCCCAAGTTTCTTAACTCTCTTTTTATTGTGGCGTATTCTCTGGGGAGCGAGTATCAAAGACAAAAGGCAATGGAGTGCCGCAACAGCATCTGGTTCTTTCCACATTACCTCTATATTTAGTTTGGGAGCAGACAGATGAGAAGGAGCAGGGATGGAGATGAGGGATTGTGGGTAGAGCCGCAACAGTACAGTAATTAAACTAAGTGACAGACATAGCTTGATGAATCTAATATTTCCCACTGCTGGGAAGCTGCTATTAATTCGTGCGGTTTGTCCTCTATGTTCGCATCAATAAGTTGTCATTGCCTTTGAGGATGTTTAAACATTTAGCAAGTTAATGAATTTTCTGTAATCACCGCATGCTGCAGCAGGAATCTCCAAATAGCTTCCGCTGCAACCCGTTCCTGCTTCCAGAGGAATCTACCGAAGCTATCGGGCAGTGTCGTAGGTCAGCAGCGTTGGAGGCATTTTTTTTTTCCCAGCCGCCCACTCATGCTGCAAGTTCCTCTCTCTGAAAGTTGTTTGTCTTCGGCCAACAGCTTCATCGGCCACTCTCTGGGGAACATCATCATCCGCTCGGTGCTGACGAGGCCTCGCTTCCGCTGCTATTTGCCCAAACTGCACACTTTCCTCTCGTTGTCAGGGCCACACTTGGGAACGCTGTACAACAACAGCACACTGGTCAGCACAGGTGAGGCCACGGCTCGTCTCCTGGAAGAAGGCAGAGCGCTGCATGTTTCGCGCCTCTCAGCAGCATATTGTCTTTTGTCTAAGAATATCATCCATACTGCTCAGCTACTGTGATGCATGTGGAGTCCTGATTCGGTGTGTGTGTGTTTTGCTTAGGTTTGTGGTTAATGCAGAAGCTGAAAAAATCCGGATCGTTGCTGCAGCTCACCTTCAGAGATCACGTTGATCCACGGAAAACGTTCCTCTATCTCCTGAGTCAGAAACCAGGTACGGCTTGAAAGCGGCTGAGATCCGAAACAGTTGACGGCCCCACTTTACAGACTGTTGCTTGAAAGGCAGGCTGTTCAAATATTCATGAAAATGTTGTCATCTTGTCTTTTTTTTGTCAAATTTCTGTACGTGTCAGCTCGCTAACACTCAAACCCCTGCCAGCGAGCTGCAAGAGGCCTGTGAGAGGCCTCCCCACTGTGTGAGTGGAACAAAGCAGTCGTTTGTCACACAGGCTTGAAGAAGATAAGCCTGAAAACGCTTTTTTTCCCCCCTCTCTACAGCTGTGGCAGGCTGACAAAGTGATCCAAACCCTGTCATTGGAAACCCACCAGTGCACTCTCTTAAAAGCACACAGAGAGGAGACTAGAGAGAGAGAGAAAAAAAAAAAACACAGCTTTATCGTATCAAGGCCTGTCATTGTGCTTTGTGATTGTACTTTGCATTTTACAACCAATTCAATCCTTTACCCTGTCTTGCCCTCCTTCTCTCTACTCTGTGCTGTCTCCTTTACTTGCGTCTTTCATGTCCTTGTAGGGCTCCAGTTCTTCAAGAACGTTGTGCTAGTGGCGTCTCCGCAGGACCGCTACGTTCCTTTTCACTCTGCCAGAATAGAGATGTGCAAAACTGCTCTCAAAGATAGAACCACAGGTGAACAATCCAGCTGTCATCACTTCAGCTCATATTTGTATTTCAATAGTTTCTATCTGGATATCTGGGCACCTGGGGACCTTGTCGTCCACATTATTTTAGCACACTTGTTTGTTCCTAGAATGACATTTTACATTATTCACGAAAGGAGCGTGCCTCACATAACAGCAGGTAAGACTGTGTCCCCTTCTCTCCTCTAACACTGCAGGTTAATAGGGAAGACTTGGCAGAACAGTGTCATAAAAACAGCAATTACATATTCTGATCGCCTCGGGTTCAGAGTTTGAGTTGGAGTTAGAGTTGATGGTGTCATCGATGACTTAAACGCCAGAAGGTTACTTAGTCACACTTTTTCTCATTTCATGCCATCCCTGTTGAGTTAAAATAAGATATAGGAATGCTTTACTTTTGTTTTAAGTATGTCTGGGTCTAGAACACCCACATGCAAAACCTTTTAAGGGCTTCATCAGTGATGAGTCCAGCCTTTGCTCTCAACACTGACCTTATTATTTGGAGAGAAGCAAAAAAAGTACCTCTTTGGAAAATAGCCTCAACAGATTTTTATATGTGTCAGTGAGAATTATTCCTCTCTTTGTCCATGGATTGCCAAGACTTTATGGAATAATGAAAAAAAAATCTTATACCATACATTTAGGGTTGGGGTTATCAGTGGTTATAGATGGTTAGCAGAAGACCTGTAACTGTGCCAGTGTAGGCCAAATACATTCACTGATGTATCATCTTCTAGTTTTATATGTTTCTTAGTCATCCAGGTCAGGGTTTAAAAAAAGAAAGGAACTGGACCGTTCATCCAAGGCTATGTCCACACGTACATGGGTAGTTTTGAAAACGCTGACACCCAGGCTTCTAGACTTCTGATTGGCCAACATTTCGTTTTTAGCGTTTACATGTGGACAGAGTTTTGTTTTGTTTTTTCAAAACGAAAACGGAAAATCTCAGTTTTCAAAAATATCCGTGTGCATGTGGACGTAGCGCAAGAGACTTCTTCAGATTTAAAAACCAAAAGGTGGAGAGTTCAAGGTGGTCTTGAGGGTCGTTGATCCACTATTGATCATGTGAGCTAAGGTGTGAAAACAGGCGCAAGTTGTTAACGTCACCAGGAGTTAAGGGTTAAATCACTGCGAGACCTTAAGGTAACTAGAGGCAAAGTGTGAATACGGGTAAAATGCCTGGAAAGAGATCTCAAGACTGCATGGTAGGTAGCTGATAGCTGGTGTTGTAAGCCACAAGCTCTGTTTAACCCCCACAGGGAGGTAAATACCTGGCACTCTGCACCTTTTGTTTTTAGAAATCAAGAAACCTTGAAGGAGAAGTGAAATGTCCTTAAAACATCAAGCCGTCAGCTCTTAAAACATCTACTAGTTTGTATAAAAACCGTTAAGCATGTGGCTAAATATGAATGCATCGCCTGATGACGTCTTTAACAAATTCATTTGCTTTCATTTATAAACCTCTGGACTTTAACAGCTCAGATTTAGCAACTTCTTCTAAATTTCTACCCATATGGAAAACTTAAGTCATACATATCTGTGCAGACACTCTGAACTGATCCTGCCACCCATGTTCCACACATGACATGGTTGGGGGGGTTGGCATGACATTTTTAGTTTTACAGGAGATTAGGCTCTAGGGTGTTGTATGGCAACCAGCCAAGACTCTAGGAAGTCATTGCACTGGGGCAAAAAACAGTCTGGCTCACCAGCACCTGTACATGCCTCATGCAACTTTGGGCAAAAATCCCAGTAAGGGTAAACACTCTGCAATGGCAAAACTTTGCACTCATCAGAGATTTCAAAAAAAGTGGAACGGAAGTATGTTGCAGTAAGTATGCAAATCAGAAAAATTGACAAGAATTATTGTTATTATGGGGTGTATGTTTCATGTTTCTTATTAAGGTCGTTTAGATGGTGGTGATGTTCTGCACTGCGTTATATTTAGAAGCTTTCCTAATTTTATACCCACTCTATCAACATGAAAAAATAAGTTTCTCCATAGAATATCTGGCATTTGTTGACCAAACAAAAACAGCTGATGAATCACTAATGAATCTAACTGTGGCCCTAAGTTTTAACACTTGAATATGGATAAGACATCATGCACGTAGGAGGACACGCTATTACTTTCCTTTTTTTTTTCCTCGCACTGAAGGGCCCGTGTACACCGAGATGATCAACAACCTCCTGCAGCCACTCGTAGAAGCTAAAGAGTGCCGCCTGATCCGCCAGAATGTGTTCCACGCTCTACCCAACACAGCCAACACGCTGATCGGCCGCGCCGCCCACATCGCCGTCTTGGACTCTGAGCTATTCCTGGAGAAGTTCTTCTTAGTGGCAGGACTCAACTACTTCAAGTAAAGGTGCTCCTACTGCAGGCTTGCTGGACCGATCTGAATGGTGGATAAAGGAGTATAAAGGAAGGGGATGAGGTCATTTTACCCTGTACAATAGATGTAATGTATATATTTCCTGGTATCCAAGAGGCCAGATTTGTATATCCCATTTGTTAGGATGGTTAGCAGCTGTTAATAAAGGATTGGTATATTGTGACTGTTTAAACCGCTAACTCAGAAGTCTGAGTTTGATGTGTAGCCAGTCAAAGCAAAACATCTGACATCGATGACAGGATTGATTGTAGATGTTTTGTCGGCCTTATGAATAACCTCTCAGCCAGAACACTAACAGATGCTAATTGTGGTTTAAAGCATTTACTTTCTTTCCCTTTAGAGTTGGTTTAGAGCCTTTGCTATCGCTGGTTGATTGAATTCTTCTTTAAGGGTTACACTAATGATAGTCTTACACTATCCTTACAAGGCAATAGATGCATAGCATTTATGTCCTTGATTGTACATGAAGTATTTTGTTGTACGAAACATAGATGTTCATTTATACAGAAATGACTATATTGTTTAAAATTATTTATTTTTTACCTGCTTATGTTATTTACAGTGTAAGTAGTCCGTCTACATTTAAGTCTCTGTGTGTAATTATCATCAAATGTGTCAAATGAAAAGTAAAAAGTGTGTTGTCTGTATGTTTATCTGTACATCTCAAAAAATCTTGCTGTCCATGACTAGCTAAGTGTTAGGCTACAACAAACGTTTGCATAGAAGTGTGCAGCAAAGTATATTTGATAAGAAATGATCCTACCTGCTGTGATAGCATTTACTTTGTAATTGTGTTTTTGTACTGACTTAGTAACAGATTAACAAGATTCAGGATTGGACCATTTGCTAAGCCCCACCTCCCCTTAGTTACCATCGTGCCACCTGTCGAGCTTTTCAGCCTCTTAAGGCCCTTATGCAATCTAGAATGATACCCCTCCAACCTGCAAAAATGTTTACATTACTAAAATGTGATGTCAGACCTAAGTAGACAAAAGCAGACCTGTCACTGCTCCTGGATTTTTCAGCGTTAGCTAGCTAACCAATCAAGCTAATCTCAGCTACTTGACTATCATACCTCTGTTTGACTTTGTTGCCTGCAATTTTTCCTTTTTTAAGCTGAATTTAGACATAACATAGCTTTATTTGCATGATTTTTATGACGTTTGCATGACGTTTTGGGTTATGTTGGTTGGGGAAGCCAACATCCCAAAATGTGTTAAACAGCGCACAAAGGAAAAAGTAGTACAAGTTGTGATTAGACGTTTTTATACTGATTCTGTAGACATTTGACCACCAACCATTCATCACCCATTTTAGACATGTGCCAAAAATGGTGACAAGATCAGTTGAAGACTAGACACAAAATCTTAGCGACAGTCTGACCATTACTTTGAAGGTGAGCTTTCTCCCTTTCTGGTTTGTTTTATATCTGCTTGGCTAATAGTGCCGGTAACAGTGTTTGCTGACAAATCTGAAGAACTACAGGAAACATTTGCTGCCAGCCAGTCAAGGCATACATATGTTTCCTTAGCAACAGGTTGTTGTATCATGTCCATTATGGCAGACAAATTTTAGGCAATGTGTGCATGGCATTATATAAAAAGTGAATGTGAATTTGGCATTTGGGATTTTTGGAACAAGAAGTGTATATGTAGATTCATGATGTTTTTGGACTTCTTATATGGTGTGTTTGAAATAAATAACTGCACAGCCATAGTATTTGTCAAATAATGCAAAAAAAAGAAAAAAAAGAAAAAAGAAATCAGCTCCAAATAAAAGATACTGTATGTGGCTTTAAACATGCATTTCTTCTAATGACCAGAAGGGGGCGACTCCTCTTGTGTCAAAAAGAACTTCTATAGTCAATGGAAAAATTGTCCTTGGCTCTTCTGATCTCTTTTATGGTGTCACAGTGCATGTTTGGTAAATTCTGGTCCTTAGTAGGTTAGTAGGTTATAAAAAAATAGTAAAAGGGTAAAAGCCCTTAGGCCAGGGCTGCTGTGTGGTTGACAAGTGGCTGCTGCTTGTGATTGCAGTGCATTCTGGTTCTCCGTCAGTTTCCCCTCTCACATCCGGTTTAAAAACTCCAAAGTAGCGACAGTGAAAATGTTCAGCCCTCAGCACAGTACAGCACATTTTCTTCCAAAAGGTAACGTCATATTTATCTAAAGGCAATCTACAACTTCTTATATGTCACAACCTATAACACAAATTATTCATCTACTTTTGCCCGGACATCTTTGGATGTGGAAGTTGATAGGTTACAATGATGTAAGATGTAAATGCATACAGCTGCAGCTGATGGTAGCACCCAACATTATCATACCCTCCCATACTTTTGTGCCTACTTTTGGTTTTGGAACAAGCCACGGGCAGCGTTTAGTTCTGTTGCTTCACTGGTTTGAACCCCAGCTGGGAATTTTCTGTGTTGAGCTTTCGTGTTCTCCCTGTGAATGAGCAGGTTTTCCTCGGGGTAATCTTCCTCCACAGTCTAAAGTCTAAATTGGCCATGCATGTGATGTATAGATAAAATATTTAAACTGCATCGAGTAAAGCACTCTATGAATGTATGTTTAAGTGTGGCTTGGAGTCAAAAGCACTTTGATTTATCAACAAAGCTAGAAAAGCACTGTATAAATGCCCACACACTTAAACATGCAGAAATCCATAGCTTGACAGGCTTCTTGTGCCTAAACGAGTTGCTACGATGGAGCGATAGCTAACCGGGGGAGAGGTTTAGCAAACAATTTTTCCTTTGACGTGATGAATATTTAACAATCTAACAATCATGAAGCAATTTTATGGAATTACTGCTATAAAATATAAAATTATATACAACTACTAGTAGTTGTAGCCTCTAGTTAATCAGTTCTTTTGATAATGCGTCTTGAATCTCGAATGGCAGGCGGTAAACAGGCTTGCTGGTATAATCAACGGCAGATTTGATGTGCATGCATGTGACAAAGATTTGCCATTCATGACTGTACGATACAATAGACTATTGTGGTCTAATGAGGATCTATTTTCTAATTAGCCATGTAAAGCTGTAGATTAAAACCCTTTGAAATGCATTGCTTTTTTTTTTTAAATTGGTGTAAATCAGGGTGTCATTGCTTTTGTTATCCTGGATGATTCTGTGTAATACTGACACACTGCCAAGATTCTCCCCCGCACACTGTCTACGCAATGTGATGCATGATGATAGCAGGGAACCGCTGTGCAAGCAGTCGAATGTTCTCTTGAACATGTAACATGCCGTGTTGTGATCTCATCAGCTTTTCCCACATCCTTGGCTGTCAGATGCAAAGTGTTGTTTTCTAGCATCCTGGCGAGGATTGTTTCCTCACCGCCGTGCTGTTCATCAGACAGTGTTTACATATTCTGATATTAGAGAACTGTCACACACGTCTCATTTCCAGCTGTAGTTATGCGTCTGCTGCATATGTAGTTATATACAGACTGAGAGATATATTTTAACCTTTGCACTGGTTTGAAGTGCACTTTATTGAAAACCTTGGATCAACTTCCACTAGCTTTACAAACTACAAACAGCTATTTTTCTTTCTTTTTTAGATCTGAAGGTCACGTCCTGTTCTCATTGTAAAAACTAACCTCACCTGTCTGTCTTGGCTGTACAAGCATTGTTTTTTGTTCAAAGCGTGCTGTCTCAAAGAACGACCGGTGACACGGCAAAGTGCTTTTTTTCCCCGTGTGGAAGCTGCTGCTCTGTCACTGTGATCGACTCTAACCAAATGGGTTCCTTAAGGACGACGGTTCTCAAAGACCCGCTAAGCAAAGCTGCGCAAGCAGTCTGCTGGAGCTGCCGTGTATCATGCACCAAAAACACACATACTGTACATGGCTGAGGCTTAAGCTTGTTTGCTTTTCCTTTGTGTGTGTTTACTCAAAGGAGTCGGCAGGAATCAATGGAGGGGAAAAGTGATGGAGAGGTATTGAGATTGACCCCTTCAAGGGCAAACAGAGGTATGAAATTGCTTTATGAGATGGATGGCTGTCCTGCAAAAGGTTTCATTTGAAGGTTTCATCAGAAAGAATTGTATTTACGTCACTCTTAGCTCTCTTTTTTACCAAATATTTATTGGCTGTTATCTGTACATTTATGTTGTTGAGTAAATTCTATAAACCCAACACTTGACTGACTTGAACCATTTTGTATTTGACTTTTTAGAGAGCCTTGTTTATGTGTAGCACATGGAGGTGTGTATGGAAACTGTGTTATATGTCTGTGAAAGCTCATCTGTCTTCGCTGTCCCTATTATTTTGGACCCTCCATTTGTTTGATCTGATTATAAAAATGTTTCATGTCCCTCAAAGAATCATTAATTTATTTCATTCTGCATTTCTTTTGCTGAATGTACAACATGTAAAGTATAAAACAAATACTACTTCATCTGTGCCAATACTACTATAATATTTTTCTATGTTGCTGACTGTACTGTACGCATTCCTTAGTAGCTTGTGTTCAATGTAGAAATAGAAATATAATTATATGCAGTATATAGCATAATATTGTTATAACATATATGAAAAAAAATAAATGACAAATGTTCTTTTGCATAATTATTTTGTTCATGAGCCTCAGTTCTATATTGATGTTAACTCTCTCAGTTTGAATGATGATTCCAACCTGAACCCAAAACAAAAAAAAGAATCTTTCTACCTGATAAACACTAAAAATGGACATTTTTCTTTCTTAAAAGTACAGAGTTAGCATAAGGTTAGGATTATCATTAATAATGCCTTAGATCTCAGAGGATTAGCCACTTAACACTGCGAACAACTAGACATGGAGCACATGTGCAAGAGTCGTTGCGGTCACAAAACCTCAGCATTCATGTGGACCATTGTGTTCACTGTCTTATAATGAAACTCATGTCACTCATACCTGATTTGATCCTAGCGTACTTGAGGACACAGAAAGTACAATCAAGGCCACAGCAAATCCAGCATGTCCAAATTAACACTGTCAGATTTGATTTCAACACTATTAAAGTGTCTATATGGGTCCACACCAGAGAGTGTTAATTTAACTCTTTTTGGAGAGTTGGTACGTTAACTCTGATTTAGTGTTAAACACCAAATCTGTCTGGAGTTGATAATTTAACACTTACTAATGCTAACTAGGTGTTAAGAGTTTATATATTAACTCCCAAAGAGTATTTTAGTTTAACTACGTAAGAGTTATCTTCTAATTCATTCTAAAAAGCGGGAATTTTCCTGTTCTGAACTTCTAGAAATTTCTTTTGGAAATAAACATTTACTAAAAAGACGCAATGGTTTTTAAAAACATTTATTCTGAACTGTGCACCACAATTTCAAAACATTTTCTGAAAGATGTAACAGTATACATGTTCTCACTTTCATTAGAATTTTGTTTATCAAAAGATCTGACATGGTAAATGCAAATAACAGCGTTCTCATCACTTATTTCTTCAATACAATATGCATGTCCTTCATTCATCCCTTTGTGGAACTTCAACGCACTTCTGCTCTCCCCCATATTCCATCTTCACAAGCATATCCTGTGTGGAGATTGAAAAAAAAAAATTAGTTGACACTAATTAATGGCACAAATAATCCGGTAATCAATTGCAGCACAGAAAAAAAAAAAGGAATCCTCTTTGAGCCATTACTTGTGTAAAGTATTTTCCCAAAAGACAAGGACACAAGCAACAGGTAATACTGAACTAAATGTAAAACCTCAACCTTTTTCATTTTTACCTAAACCGTGTGCGCAAAACTCTGGAGGGATCTATGCTAACGTAGAACCCAGTCAGGACGTCAGCTACTGCTGTTTGCTCGGTTTTTTTGTTTTTTTTTTATGGGCGATCATTTTCAGGCTTCAAGTAGCACCATTATACCAACATTTCACATTCTAGACATTGTTTTAGGTGTATTTGACCAAAAAATTTGACTGAAAATTCACATGCAAGCTTTTTTTCAAGGCTGTGGTATTTGCCTGCAAACAATACCTTTCAGCTAGCTAAAACAGAATATTATGCTATCACCGAGCAACATGGCTAATGCCTTTCACACAGCTTTGTCTCAACTCCAAAGAGCCACAGAAGTAAAAGCTCATAATAATAATTGAAACAATCTTTGAAAAAATGACTTACCAAGCATGGCAAACAACTCAAATATGTAGAGCAAAATGTTCTAAAACGGCTTCACTTCAGCTTCGATTGGAGCCGTGCTGGGGGCGGAGTCTGTGAATTTACTCTGTTGGTGTCATAGCCCCTGTAGGAGTTCAGAGTTCAGAGGTCAAGAGTTAATGTTTCCATTGTAACACCTCCAGATTTGACATAGAAACACTCATTTTTAACACTCGATTTTAACTACTATCATTTTACACCTCAGAGTTACATTAAAAGAATGTGACTCTGCTTAGAGTAAAATTAACTCTACTTTTGCAAGAAGACTATTAACACCAAAACATTTAACACTTTTGAATTTGCTGTGGGATTAGGGGTACGGTTGTGTTGCATATTGGCGACATGGTAAACAAGCCTAGTTTTAGGAGCCTGGTTCATGTTAAGAGGTCATACATGTTACATATTCTCATAGCATGAGGTAAAGGCTAGGTTTTAGCTCGGCAAGGTCATTACTGTTAACTCTAACAGAGTGCTATCAGCATATATGTTTCCCCTTAAAAGTACTTTTAATTAGGGGCGACAAAGAACGTAATCATTCTGACTGATACACATCAAAAGATGACTGCCCCTCTCTCAGATTCTGCTGGAGGTTTCTGCCTGTTAAAAGGGAGTTTTTCTTTCCCACTGTCGCCAAGTGCTTACTCATAGGGGATCATCTGAATATTGGGGGTTTCTCTCTATTATTGTGAGGTCTTGACCTTACAATAGAAAGCACTTTGAGGTGACTTGTTATTTTGGGCTATACATATTAAACTGAATTGAACTGAATCAAAAACCTGGTACAGTTTAAAAAGAAGGAATCCAAGTCTAAGTACAGTAACAGGTAACACTCACAAGCAGAAAGACATTCACAGGAAACATCTTAAAGTCTGTTCATGTATGAAACAAGTTTTTCGGGACAGCTTAAACCTAGATGAACTCGTAGAAGAGGGATGGGATGAGTGTGGAGAAGGGAAATGAGAAGCTCATGATCCAAAGCATCTTTCAAACATTGTGAAAGGCATAATTACTGCATTGTCATTCATGGGTGCCACTGGACCCGGGTCACTGGTATTTACTGATGATATGAATCTTTGTCATGTTCATTAAACCATCCTGTGGACTGCTCTATGAAATGAAGCATGTTCATGTTGGAAGTTACCTTGAGAAGGTGCAAAATTGTGGCCATAAAAGGCCACAAAGCATTCAAACAGTGATTGATTGGTGCAGGCAACACAACACACCTCACACCGTGATACTGAGCGTGAACTGTTGACGTGCTGCAAGTTTGGTCTGTTCGTTCATGCTGTTGTGAGCCAACTTGTGAGCGTATGTGCAGCCTCAGCAGAATGCATTCTGAGAAGCTTGTCATCTCACCACAGTTCGAAAGAGGGGTTATCTTAGTTACTGTAGTCTCCGCTCCATCAATTCCGGCAGTCCTTCTCAGGGTGAAATGACTCGCGAAAAGCTTAAAATGTGTTGACATGACACGGAAAATGTCCTGAAAAGTGTTGGTTAATAATACGGAAACAATTGCTGGCTATTAATGCAAAGATGTAAAATTGCAGCAGAATCAATCTTCCTTTGTCATGGAGAAGACTGAAAACATGCTACTTTTTGGCAACTTTGTATATATTAAAAAAAATGAGATTTGTTGTTTAGACCTGTGAAAGAGGCTAGGAATTATCTAGACATATGATTCGTGTCACAATATGGAATTTGTCAAAATTAAAGTTTCATCAGTTTTCTTTTACATCAGGATGTATTTGGTTTTATTACATGCCAATAGCTATCCAATTCAGGCTTTGGCCTTGTGAGACAGGTTGTTGTGAGTTAAACTGTACTCCAAATTAATTACTGTGCTTGTCTAATAAGGGCTAATCATTTTTCTGGACGGGCTGAAGGATTTATGTGGACCAAACTGTACCTCAACAAACTATAAAAGACATAATTTTCAAATAAATACAAGCATGTCCATCCATCCATCCATCCTAAGCAGAGAAGCCCAGACCTCCCTCTACCCGGCCACCTCCTCCAGCCTTCCCACGTGAACACCAAAGCGTTTCCAGGCCCACTGAGAGGTATAATCTCTCCAGCGTGTCCTGGGTCTGCCCCGGGGCCTCCTCTCGGTGTGACATGCCCGCAACTACTCACCCAGGAGGTGCCCAGGAGGCATCCTTGTCAGATGCCCGAACCACGTCAACTGGATCCTTTTGATGTGGAGGAGCAGCGGCTCTACTCTGAGCAGACGGCTAAACTGCTCACCCTGTCTCCAAGGGAGAGGCCAGCCACCCGTCGGAGAAAGCTAATTTCCGACGTTTGTATCTGCGAACTTGTTCTTTCGGTCACTACACAAAACCTGTGACCATAGGTGAGGGTAGGGACGTAGACCAACTGATAAATTGAGAGCTTCATTTTCATGCTCAACTCTCTCTTTTCAAATTATGTTCAATCATAATTTCCTTGGGGATTAGTGAAGTATTAACCCCCTGAGGTGTAAGTAGGGAGCGGAATTAAAAAATAACTCTTGCAGCGAACTGTAGTTCAATTCCTTGGAATTGTTAGCTCGCCTATCATTTCCATTTATCAGTCCACTACTGCTATAATCCACTGATTTGAATTTGGTGCTGAACGAGGAAAATAGTGTTGCAGCCTACAGCGTGGATGTGGACATTATACTTTTATTTTTATTGCACAAAAGGACGAGAGTGAGATGGTAAAGTGCAAACTGCATCCAGGACAGCTGGATTATGCTGCTAACAGAACTTCTGCTCTTTGCTAGCACCTACGCAGATGGCAAGCTAATGCTAAGCTAGCCAAGAACCCAAATGATGTTAAAGCAGTGATGAGCAGTCAGGCTTACAACCTCTACTTCTACCTGTTCATGTTTCTAAAGTAGAATCTTTGTGACAATCGCTTCAACGTATTTTTGGCTCTTTTAACTTTTACTTTGTGTTGTTGACTTGTAACTATACCTAAAAACTAAACAAAAGATCCTATCTCCGTCTCCTTATGAAAATGGGGAATTGTGTTGGTGTGTGATAAAGTGTTTCAGGTCATTTTGCAGAGTAATGAGAAAGTAATGTAACTCGTAGTGTAACCCAGCGGTCTCCAACCTTTTTTTGCACCACGAACCAGTTTAATGTCACACAATATTTTCACAGACTGGCCTTTAAGGTGTCGCGGATAAATACAACAAAATAAATGGTATGACCGAGACAAAAACTGTGGTATTTTGGAAATATAATAACAAACGCAAATTCACTGTGTAATTGTGTAACTTTATTACTGAAATGCGCTAACAGCAGTAAGAGTAACATCCTCCTCTCTGCCCCTTAATGCTCTTTGGTCGCTATGGTAACGCGTAAATATTTCTTTCAAAATAAAACACACAACTACAACACGGGGAAAGACCCAGGGTAACAGAGT